CCTTGGGTCAGGGCCGGCCCTGGCTTACTTGGTTTGGGCCTTTATTTTAGTATGGTGACTGAATTGACTTGGATTTGGGTAGGCTAATTCTATTAATAAATTTTTTTTTTGAGTGAATAAAAATTAGTATAGTAAAATTTTATTTTTTTAGGAAGCCTCGAGCCTATCCTACATCCGTCCTTGGTCACTCACCTGTCAGATAGCAAAATTACTAATGTGCTGGCAAAAAATTACAGAATACCATCATTAGTTGATGAAGTGGATTTAACTTTTGAAAATTCAGGTACTTTAATATCAGCAAGTACTTGGTAATTTTTCCTGGCATGCTCATTGATTTAATTATTTATTTTATGTTTTACATAAAAGACTAGGGGAAAAACCAGAGAGTTTTTCACGTGGAGTTGGAACAAACAAAGCAAATTGTTGTTTTTTTTTGGAAATGATCAAGGATATTGCTACTTTCATAGACTCCTAAAAAAAAAATCTGAAATCATATATCATATTTTAATACAAGTACAATTATTGAATCAATATACATCGAGATTTCTCAAAAAAGTTACAAAAAGTTGCAATTATTCAAAATTATTCAAGAATAGTTGAGAAGATTTGTATTTGCATTACTCATTACAATTGTTAATGAATACTATCTGTTTATCATGTGAATAGCTTTACAAAGCCAGTGGAAATCTATATGTTCTGGATTTGCATAGGATTGATGGCTCCCCCTCTCTCTTCTTAGAAGTCTCTGCCACTTGTCTTGCATTAGTAGGGATGGTAACTTGTATTAGTAGGGATGGTAACGGAGCGGAGTTAGGATGGGTTAGGCTAAACCCTACTCTGCCCCATTAGAAAATCTGTCACTCCAATTCTACCCCTACTCTGAAATGGATTTGTAAGTGTTATATCATCTCTGCCTTTACTCCGGTAGACAAAGTATTAATTCCACCCCATGTACTCCGTTTAATTACAGGGCGCAGTAGGGGCAGGTCGAGTTATACTACTTTTATTATGTAATAAAAATAAAAATAAAAACTAGCCTAACGTGTTCAAATTAGACTGATAAATAAGTTGAATTAACTTTTAAATTACTAAATAATAAATATCAATATATTAACGGATACTTTCAGCAAAGTAACAAGAATATTAAAAATATTAAATATATATTTTATATATATATATATATATATATATATTTATTAAAAGGTACATATATAATCGGGGCGGAGTTGGGGCGAGTTCAATACTAAATTTGCCCCCGCCCCAAACCCGTTTCGAATTTTCAATTATTTTACCATATCCATTCGAAAGCCATTTAAGGAACACCAAATCCACCCCATTAGGGGTGGGAACGTGGTGAAAAACCCTTGGTCGGAAGAAATTGCCACCCTTATGCATTAGTAGTGGCATAAGTTGTTTATTCTACTGCACAGTGGAAAGTAATGTAAAGTTTATCCGGGTTTTAAGATCAAAGGGTATCTGTTGTATGTGTGTAAGCGTAATACTCGAGTATAGTGTCGCCTTCTACTGTTAAAACTTGTACTTTTGGGTACCATATTGCATTATATATGCAGCTTTGGTTCTAATTGGAAGTTGGAACAGACAAACAAATATTCATTTTTTGGTCTACATTTGAAGTGTTGATCAGTTGATGTATAATACGTAGTAGTTGATTTTATTTTTAGTTCTCTATATCTTTGCCTATCCCGTGTTTAATTAATTGCAACATCAATCCGTTGTGTTTGATAATTTCAGTACGTTATAATTCACGTGAATTGATCTTGATTCATGTTTGATTATCACTAGGATCCCTTAAAACTTGCACTTAACGTTTTTTTTGTTTTTTGTTTTTTAATGTGTATTTTATTATTTATTTATTTTCCTGAAATGTGTAATGAATTTCTGTTGTGGCTGTGGACCTATGGTTATGTTATTGTATATTATTTGGGACAATACTTACCTACTCACCGGTAAATAGAAAATTCATGCGTACCATCGATATGGCGCAACAACAAAGTGATAAGTGTCCTTACAATGTAAAAAAAAAATGGACAATGCTTGCCGGCCTACTCATTAGTTAGTAGAAACTTCAACAAATAATGCGATGATGAAAGTATGCGTTGGGATGTTCAACAGGAGAGATTCGAAACACCACATACTGAGAACCAAGTACTCTTAATATTATGAGTTTTGAATTGGATTAAATTTTTTAATGATGGTGAGACTAAAGAGTTCCGTACACCTAGCCACTCCCTCTTAAATTATTTGTGTTAAAATTGGCTTATGATCATTATTCAACTAAAGAAAAGAAAGTATTTAGCTGTAAGAATATTACAGGGACACTTATCATTTTATTGTGTCACATGGATAATAACTATGAAATTTTTATTCTTGGATATTATCCCTATTATTTTATATTATGAACTTCGGATTTAACCATAAACGTAAAAAAGAGAACTGCAAACACTCTTCAAAATTTAATGTACAATTATTATTACTTTCAATATGTTGAATGGAGATTTTGCTTGTGTTTTTGTGAAAAAAAAAAAAAAAAAAAAAAAAAAAAAAAAAGGAATGGAGATTTTGCCCAAGTTATATTATATACCCCAATTTTTTTCAACGGACTGCTACACCATTAATTACTTTGCATAAGGGGACACCATTACTTTTTTGAAAAGTAACTTTCTGTTTTTTGTTTTTCCTTTAATGAAAAGTGTAATAAACTAAGTAATTCTGTAATGATATAATATAATAGTTTAACAGAGAAAGCAATTATAAATAATTATATCAATATCATAAAAGAAAATGAATGAATGATGGTGTTAAATTTACAACAACAATAAAATGTTATAGAAATAAATGAATTTATAATTACTATAATCTCACCGGACGTAAATTTAAATATTAACGAATAAATTAAATTAGGGGTCTTGAATTAAATTTAGCTTCAATCAATTCCCCCATCTGGATCCAACAGTGAGTCAGACTAGTCAGTGACGTATATCGAAAGTGTGCATTTGGTGGCCAGATCAACAACGTTCATTAGGGAAGTCAATGAATGGGGTGTACTTAATTAAAGGAATTGTTTCCAATTCATTGAACATCGGCTTTCTACAGTGTACCGTCGCTCCTGATAGGAAACATCAAAGAGAACTTAAATAAATTTACCTTAAAATTTTCATTTTATTTTTAATATTTAATCTTTTTACATTAAAAAGGTCTAATAACTTAAAATGTACATTGATTAAAATATTTTTATTTAAAGATTCAATCTTTACTCATTAAAATATTCTTTGTAACGTCAAAGCGACTCGAATATGGTTACTTCAAAATTTTCATTTTCTTTCAAAGGTTCAATATTTGTACATTAAAAAGGGTTAGTGACTTAAAAGGTTCATTGATTGAAGTATTTTTCCAAACTCATCACACCATCAATAATCAAATTCGGTTTGATTCCACGCCATGCTAGACGCATATGTTAAGAAAAAAACATTTAAACTTGAACATATTAAGTATAAATTTGCTAATTTTTTTTTTAGTATAGTCAAATATTTAACAATCTTAATAACAAAAATGTTACTAAAATTTAAAATTATTATAATAAATGAAGAAAAAAGAAAAAATATAGCTAATAAAATAATATTTATTTATCTATTAATTACTAATTGGGGCGGGTTCTAGACTTTGTGGGTTTTAAACTCTTTTTTCAAATTTGCCCCCAACCCTATTAGGAATTTAGGATAACCACAAAACCCATCCCAATAGAAAAGGAACGGGACGGGATGGATTAAATTGACATTTTTATAGTTCATAAAAAACAATTTGTTATTTAGTAATATTAAGTTATTATAGGTAGACAACAACTCAATTAATGTAAACACTAGCACTATATATTATTTATGATACCAAATCATTTCCTATTAAATAAAATTTCAAAGGATAAATTTGGGTTATATGTACACAACCAATCTTACTTTTGCATGTGAAAAAAATACTTGTATCTTCTAAGACTTGAACCCCTATTTCTTTATTTTGAACTCATGACCTTTAAGTTATAATGAATCGAACAATCTTATCCTTACTCGATTTGGAGGTAATTGAGGGTGAAAATTGCCCTACCACTTCGGTAGCGGGACACCCTCCCTTACCAACAATGACAAAAAAATCTCTTAATGGGGGACCTGAAAATTTTCCACATTTGTATTTAATATGTTTTTGTCGTGATGTTAGATTTCGCTACAAAAGCGATTTACGTTTTGACTCGAGGAGCATGGGGCACGTGGAATCCTGTGTGAATCAACAAGGACCACCTTGCAAGGCTAAATAATCTTGGGTGACCGATAGCGAAGTAGTACCGTGAGGGAAGGGTGAAAAAAAACCCCATGAGGAAGTAAAATAGAACATGAAACTGTAAGCTCCCTGGGAGGAGCCCGGTTTTTTTTATTAAAGAAATGAAAAAAACACCTTTTGCAATGTTTCATGTTACCAAAACATACCTTTAACCACGACTTCATTTATGTTCTTACAAATAAAATAAAAAAATTAAAAGGAATCACTATGAAAAGACACAATTTCTCTAATGATCGAGTTCACCAAGCATGAATGAATAGGATAGAGCACTGTTGATTGATTGAAATTTGTGCATCGAATTTTCAAATCTCTACATCGTAATTGGTATAAACCAAATCACTCCAAACCCTTTTAGCATTTTTTTTTGCCCTTTTGAGCATTGGAAAAAACCTGATGTTTAGTATATAAATAAGATAAAATTTCTGAACACTCATGTAAATTTCATTGACAAGGATAAATGATAAATATATATCCTAAGGAAATTCCATAAAAGCACAATGCATGATTTCAGTCACTAGCAACAGACACAATTAATCCAAGAGCATACCATGAAATTAATCCTTGAACAAGAAACAACAATTTACAAACACAAACAAAAAGATATAAATAAAAAAAAATTAGACAACATAAAGAGAAAAGAAGATTAATTTTGATCAAAGGTTGAGTGATAAGTCAAGCCCTGTGTGATCTCCATGCTGCACCTTCAAATCATGACTTGCATCAACACAAGCCCCATTGGCCAGATTTTGAAAAGCCGATAAACCTCCAGACACACCCGAGCTTGGACCAGCATCAAACAATGTCCTTCCGGGCAATTGATACCCACTGTTTGTAGGCCAGTAATTTGCTACTCTAGGTGTAGACATTCCTTGGTAGCCATGACCAAGTCCAACATGTGACCTAGGGAAATAAGGGTCATGACCCATCAATGGGATTGATGGAGGGTAATAGGAATCATGAACCATTGACTGCATGTGTCTAAGGTAATGAGGCTGCTCATGACCTAATGGCTGCTGCTGCATTGGAGCACCAAAAGTCCGGTTGAAAGAAGCGTGAAGAGGAAGAGCTGCTGCCACCCTCTGATAGGGGTGGAACTCATGAGTACTTCCCATGTATCGAAAAGGATTCATGGTCATGGTATTCTCAATTTTTTCCACAGCTCGCTCGCGTTTGTGGGCATTTTGATGGCCCCCTAATGCCTGTGAACTTAAAAACTTCTTATGGCAGTACTTGCAAGTATATTCCCTCCTTTTCGCCTTCTCGACACGCTTCTCAGGCGCCGATGCCAATGGATGACTTCCCTTGGAGGAGTCTGATGAACTGTGTTCAAGCTTGGACGACTCATCATGTTCAGCAACCTCACTCTTAGAGGGTTTTGGACCCAATAGGAGATTCAATTCAGGGTTTTTTTGGGGCTCTTCAGAGTTTTTTTCTGCTACATGAATAATATCATTGCATGCAACATTTTGTGAAGTCACTGGGATATTCAACATGGTTGGAGAATAATAGATAGACCTGATCACAACTTTTCAATTTCATGGCTAGACTTGGAAGATTGCAACCATATTTATATGGTTTTCAAACCAAGAAGCAAATCCAATTACATGTCTTTAATATGGTAACATGCTAAAGAAAATGCTAAGCTTCATTAAGTTTTGGACTGTGTCTTAAGAGGCTTTGTTGTAATTTTTTCCAAATATACATGTGCATACATCACCTTTCCACTAATCTTATCTACCCATTAAAGCATAAGAATGCTATCTTTAATATTCTCCAAATTTAGGGCATTTTCTTACCTTGAATACTATGGAGTGAGTCCCACTTGGACTACCTTTTGAACATATATAAGATATTCAATGGATTGAGACCCACTTGTATTTATTTATGTGGATCCCACTAACTTGTGGGACTATACTTAAAAACTATGGTTAGTTTATTAATATAAATATTTTTTTGGTCAAAACAAAAAAACTGTACTTAATGTGTTAAAATACAAGAAAATAGTTCAATTAGGGAGAAAGAAAAAACAGTTTCGATTTATAGTCTTATAGTTAGACGTGTCCGGTTGTATTTATGTGACATATAAGTAAAGAATGATATCGTTCTAATAAAATATATAATATCATTTCACATTCATATAAAAAATTAATAATTTAATTATTATTTTTTAAGAGAAAATAAGATAAATTATATGAGTGACTTCTTATTTTTGGTATGTAAGATTAAATCTCCTTTGACTATTTAGGAATGTCTCTCATTTATGATGGGGAAGAACCTAATTTGACTTTATGGAATCTTTTTCTATGGACTGACTTGTAATTCCTATAAGAGTCTCTTTGGGACAACCTTTCTAATTATTGAATTGTGGGTCTCCAAATATTTTCCTATAAAATACACCAAATATAGAGATCATTTTTTATATTTCAATAATATATATATATATATATATATATATATATATATATATTTCACAATATTTCAATAATATTACTTTCCACAAAATAGATGTATAATTTTTGGAGAAAAAATTCCTCAAGTTGAACTTTATTGTAACCATCAAATGTGAGGGAAAAAAACATGTCCATGGTTATTTTCTACACATCTAGTCTAATTCTTTTATTAGTCATTGTATACTAGCGTGTATCTACTTATATGTGAGGTGATTATTTGTCTAACAATTAATATAAAATTATACTTGATGAGTCTTTTATTGTTGTTTAATTATATTAAAATTATTATAATAAATATATTTAATGTGTACGTAAGATACATTATTAAAGAAAAAACTAGAAAATATTTCTCTTTGCCCGAGACTATATATATATATACACACTCCCAAGTCCAACTAGGGAGAGAGAGAAAATAAAGATAAATTATATGAGTGACCTCTTATTTTTGGTATGTAAGATTAAATCTCCTTGACTTGTCTTTCCTTTTTTAGCGTGGAGAACCTAATTTGACTTAATGGAATCATTTTCAATGACTAACTTTTATAATAATTCCTTTAACAATATAACACACTTTGGGACAAGCTTGCTAGTTATTACGGAGTATTTATTATTATTATTATTGTTGTTGTTTTTTTCAAAAACTACTAGTTATTGAATTGTGGGTCTCCAATTCTTTTCCAATAAAATGCACCAAATATAGAAACAAGAGAAATGATAAGTAATTCTAACTTATTGGACCACATTTATTAGAGTGAGAAATAGGAGCACCACTCACATCATAATCCATCCAACATTTTCACTTCCACGAATATTAAATATTACTATATTTGGGGTATGAAATTGAAGTTTTATATTTTTTAGGATTAATTTCACTTACATCCCTTTAGATTTGGTCAAATATTATTTTCAAATATCTTTTAAAATTAATTATTAGTCAGAGACTTGGATCCTCTAAATTAAATATTTTATAAGTTACCCTAAGTTGAATTCGCTACCGATCACGCCAACTAATTTAGAGAAAGTTTGAAAATTGCACCGTTTTAAGATAAAGAAAAATTTACCAAAGTTTAAAAACAGCACTCCTTTGAATTAAAAAAAAAAATCACCATACTCTAACCACGTTTTATCGTTATTATATCTCCCTAATCCTTTCCAAAAAAAATTTATCGTCGTTATCTCTCCCTCATCCTTTCCAAACAAAATCCTCCCTCCATCTCTCTCTTCTTGCTCATTCCCTTGAGGGAATATTTGGCGCCAAAAATGAATGTTTTTTTGCCATGGAATTAAGATGGATGAAAATGTGATTGCAAGACATGCAACTCTTACTGGTAATAGTAATGGTTGGAAAAGAATATATATATATATATATACAAGCATGGACATTGATGGAGTTAGGAAAATACAATCAAAAGATGAGAGAACATTGGATTAAAAGAAAAAGACCATCTCAACTTGTTTAATATGGGAATAAAGATGATGAGGGAGAAATAACGACGTTTAGGTCAAAACAGTATAGTTTTCAATTTTTTTTTAAATTAGTTGACATGGTTTAACACAAACCGTAGATAGATTTTAAATGTCACTCTGTAGCGAATTCAACTTAGAATAACTTAGAGAATATTTAAGTTAGAGGATCCAAATCCTTCACTCAGACCCCAATTTCCTTTTCAGTTACTTTTTTAAGTTAAAAAGATGCAAAATGACAATTTTATTCTTATTTTTTTTAATCCATTTTAATCCAAAATATCAAGCCTCAAATAACCAAATTGCCTTAATTTATTACTCTGTTACCCCCAAAACTCTTCACCTCACTCTTTTCTCCATAAATATATATTTTTGGGTTAATTTCATCGGCGCCCCTTCAAGTTTGATCAAATATCACATTGAAATACTTTTCAAAAATTAGTATCACTTAAGTCCAATTTTACTTTTCCGTAACATCATTAAAAGCATGTGAAAAGACAATTTTACCCCTAATTTTTTAATACTCTTTATTCCAAAATATCAACAATCTAAAAAGACGACATTGCCCTCATTATATACTATATGTCTTCCTTTTTCCTATATATATATATATATATATATATATATATAACACGCACCAATGGGATTCTCGTCTTTCCCATTGTTAAGTTATCCTCCTCTTTCCTTGTAAAGAATATATATATATAAACACCCAACAATCATTACTCTGAGACCAGAAAGTCATGAAAGATATTAAACGTGTATGTCTATGTTTTCTTTCTTTTATCTATTGTATAGTTCATGAAATTGTTAATACTGTTTTTAAAGATTATATGACAGAACTATGAAACATTAATTACTTTGAAAACATTGTTGTGGGTAGTTGATTGATGTGATTTGAAAAATTAACAATACGTCAATATTGAGTTCATAAGGGTAATTTTGGTATATAAATTATTTTTTTTTCACTTTCTTGCTAACCAAACTAATGAAATAACATTTTCTCACAAATTCTTTTTAAAAAAAATCATGCTAACCAAATGCATGATAGAAACATTATTTTCTTTTCTTTTACTTTATTTTCTTTTCGTTTCACTTTCCACCATCAATTTCTGGCTAACCAAACAAACCGTACCGATTACGCTAACTAATTTAGAGAAAGTTTGAAAATTGCACCATTTTGAGATAAAAAAAATTTACAAAGTTTAAAAACTGCACTCCTTTAAATTAAAGAAAAATCACCATACTCTAACCACGTTTTATTGTTATTATCTCTCCCTCATCCTTTCCAAAAAATATTTTATCGTTATCTCTCCCTCATCCTTTCCAAAAAAATCCTCATTCCATCTCTCTCTTCTTGCTCATTCCCATTCTTGAATGAATATTTGGCGCCAAAATGAATGTTTTTTGCCATGGAATTAAGATGGATGAAAATGTGATTGCAAGACATGCAACTTTTACTGGCAATAGTAATGGTTGGAAAGAATATATCTATATAAGTATGGATATTGATGGAGTCAGGAAAATACAACCAAAAGCCCTATATATAGAAAAGATGAGAGAGAACGTCGGATTAAAAGAGAAACAGAGACCATATCGACTTGTTTAAGATAGGAATACAGATGATGAGGGAGAAATAACGACATTAACGTCAAAAAGGTACAGTTTTCAAACTTTTTAAAAATTAGTTGACGTGATTTAACACAAACCGTAGATATATTTTAAATATCACGTGTCAATATGTAATAAATTCAACTTAGAATAACTTAAAGAATATTTAAGTTAGAGATCCAAATCCTTCACTCAGACCCCAATTTCCTTTTCAATTGCTTTTTTAAGTTAAAAAGATGCAAAATGACAATTTTATTCTTATTTTTTTAATCAATCCAAAATATCAAAAGCCTCAAATAACCAACTTAAAGAATATTTAAGTTAGAGATCCAAATCCTTCACTCAGACCCCAATTTCCTTTTCAATTGCTTTTTTAAGTTAAAAAGATGCAAAATGACAATTTTATTCTTATTTTTTTAATCAATCCAAAATATCAAAAGCCTCAAATAACCAAATTGCCTTAATTTATTACTCTGTTACCCCCAAAACTCTTTATCTTACTCTTTTTTCCATAAATATATATTTTTGGGTTAATTTCACCGGCATCCCTTCAGGTTTGATCAAATATCACATTTGAAATACTTTTCGAAAATTATTATCATTTAAGTCCAATTTTACTTTTCCGTCAGTGACACCGTTAAAAGCATGTGAAAAGACATTTTTACCCCAACAAATGACATTGCCCTCATTATATACTATATGTCTTCCTTTTTCCTATATATATATATATATAACACGCACCAATGGGATTCTCGTCTTTCCCTTATTTATTTTTTTTTTTTGTTAAGTTATCCTCCTCGGTCCTTATAAAGAATATATATATATATATATATATATATATATATACAGTGGCGTAGCCAAAAATTTCCTTCAATGGGGGCAATATTTAATAGCAATAATATATATATATATATATGCATATAATTTTTACCAAAACAATATATGTAAAAATTAAAACATTGATTCATAATTTTTCTATTCAGTACATTCATAATGATTTTTCACATTATTCATTGTTGTTTCAAAATTTAATTCATTGAATTAAATATACTAAAAAAAATTCATATACAATGAATCAAGAATAAGATATGAAAAAGAAAATAACATAGTTACCTAATTGTTCTAATATAACACATATGTAGAAAAAATAAAAATAAAAAAATCATGATAACTAAATCTAACCTTATAAGTTATAACTAGATAATTCAATCCATCGAAAAATTTGATAGAGTTGAATATGTGATTTCATTGATTTGGGTTGCCAAAAAAAAAAAAAAAATTCTAAGTTCAATTTAGAGAATAATAATTAATAACACAATTACACAAACTAAATTTTGAAAGAACAACAAGTCCTAAAATAATTTTGATAGTAATAACTAATAATTTTTCTTATTAAAATTATAATATCAAATAATAATCGTAAAATTTAGATGATAAAAAAATAGGGAAAACTACATATAAGTAGACTTAGTACCCTTAATTAACAAAATGGTCTAATTTTAAAGTTTATTTTTCAATTTGATTGAATTAAACAAAATAATTACAAATACATCAATAATTATTGTTAAGGTTCAAAATACTCTCCAAACTCTTATTCTAGAATACCAAAATATCCTTAGAGTTATATAATTTCAAAATACCAAAAGTCAATTAAGAAACTTTCGAATCTTGACTGTGGATCCTGTGTTTGGAAGGAGCCTGAGTGAAGAAAATCAAATCCATTGCAACAAGCATGACATATGATTTAAGGAGTATCTTATAAATCCAAATTTATTTTACACGGCATTTTTTCCCTCTTTATATATACTATTTACATGTTTATAAATATACTTTTGAATTTCCTTTTATAGGTGGAATAATATTTTCTTGTTTTGAAGCAAGAAAGACGCTTTGTTTATAAATATGATATTTTAAGATGTATTTGTTATATGTCTGGAGAAATTGTAGAAGGTTGCAAATGAATTGTTTGATTAAATACTCGATTAAAGAAATAAAATATTTTTTTGAAGACATAGAATACTATTTTCTGATAAATTTGGGATCAACCCTAGATGTTTAGGGATCAAGTTGTGATACTTGTTCTTAATTTTCAGATAGATTTTCACTATTCAATGAGGCTTTCTCTCTCTTCAATTAGATCCGTCTTATTTCAATTTTTTTTTATTTTTTTGGGTTATATATGTGATCATACTGGGTATAGATTAATTGACCCAAGAACCAAAATTTTTAGTTCATCCTTTACTTTTTTGGTAAGAAATCATTATAGATAAAAAAGATGAAGCTTTAAGTCATTGTACAAGAGATCTGAGGAAGACGAGAAAGACAAGCCAATTAAAGTTTGTATAATAATCCTCTGGTCATGGCGGTCTACCTCATCAACGTGGTTGTTCAGAAAAGTTATCAAAACCAAACGAGAGGGAAGAGGGAGAGACGATGAAGATAGAGGAATGGAACCCAATCTAATTGAAGAGAGAAAGAAACGTCGTTTTGGAAAGAAAAAAAAAAATGGTAAGAGCGATGATGTGTCCATGCCACATAAGAATTGGATCAAAATAGGCTCCAAAATTCTTATAAAATTATACGGATATTTTAGTATTTCAGAATAAGAGTTTGAAGGGTATTTTGGACTTTAACAATAATTGATGCATTTGTAATTATTTTGTTTAATTTAATCAAATTGAAAAATAAACTTTAAATTTAGACTATTTTGTTATTTAAGGCTACTAAGTCCACCTATATGTAGTTTTCCCAAAAAAAATATCAGATTACCTGTCTGCCGCACTGTATTCAGTCTCTGCCTAAGGGTAACTCCACTTGCTTTGTTTGGATTGTTTGTAAAGTTTATTTGTTTGTGGTAAAGTCAAAATTATGATAGAATATCTTGATGAAATATTTTTTTTTTTTTTGAAAAGTAGAAAAGAATATAATATTTTGAGAAAGTGGAAAAAAATATCATATTTTTTGAAAAAGTATAAATTGATAGATAATCGTGAATGAGCTTTTGATTATATATATATATATATATATATATATATATATAAACACCCAACAATCATTACTCGAGACTAGAAAGTCATGAAAGATTAAACGTGTATGTCTATGTTTTTTTTCTTTTATCTGTTGTATAGTTCATGAAATTGTTAATACTGTTTTTAAAAATTATATGACAGAACTATGAAGCACTAATAACATTGAAAACATTGGACTTGTGGATAGTTGATTGATATGATTAGAAAAATTAACAATATGTCAGTATTCTCCTTTACCATACACACACATATTTATACTATTATTAAAAATACAAGGGGGTTAGAGAATTTCAAATCATTAGTTTATAATTAATTTAATAAAATCCAAAAAAAAAAAAAAAAAAAAAAAAACTTTTAATTACTATAAAAAGAGTTTTTAAAATAATTTTTATAAAACTAACACAAACTACCTATTAATATAAAAAAGAGTTTTTAAAAGAGTATATATATATACACCTAGTGAGAGAAGATGAAGAAAAAGAAAATAGAGGGGGTCATTTTTATGGTATTTTGGTGTTCTATGGGAGTAATTAAGTAATTTTATATGTAAAACAATTTTTATAAGTCAACACAAAGACAAAAGAGTAATTTTATATGTGAAACAACTTTTCTAAGTCAACACAAAGACAAACGAGTAACAGTCTAATTTTATAAGTCAACAAAAAGTCAAAAGAGTAATAGTCTAATTTTACATGCAAAAGTGATACACAGACCACTGAATGGTAACGTCCGGGTGCAAGTGAAAAGAGACTTAAGTGGAAAGAGACTTATAGCCAGAAAAAACTAGTATGGAATAAGCCCAAAAGCTCTGGGCCCAAAATCAAGGTTAAAGACTATTTGTCAAGAACAAGTAGTTCAATGCAAAAGAATTTCCCATTATTAGGATTTAACCCAAGCCGAATAAAGTTTTTCTCCTTTTTCACATTGTGCTTACTACAAATTGGTACGAGATAAACCTATAAAGTGGTATTAAAGTAAAGCCAACAAGCAATTGGTGTCAAAACAATATCTAACACCAACAATTGAATTTGAATTTCAGAAACATTTAATGGTGGCTTGAAGCACACAACAAAGATCCACTAACCTTGAATTTTTTCTAGTCTCTCGTAAACTAAAAGATAAAATTATGGATTCATATGGTGCTCACATGATTTTAAAAAGACGACTTATAATAGAAACGAATGAGAATTCATGTGGTCGACTTCATTTATATAGAATTAAGGCAAGGATGATCAATGATGATGATGATGATAGTGCTGAGATGGCTCCATATCGGGCAAGCTTTGGCTGCAACCTCCCAATTATATCATGATCAGTACTTGCTTCTAAACCATCCTTGAAATCATGTTGCTGAAAATTGCAGCTTCATATCCAGCATATTCCTTTTTCTTTTCTTTTAGCTTTTTGTACTCAAGTTTCACATCCCTAGTAGGTCAAAAAAATATTGAGTTTATAAGAGATAAAAGAAATTGAAGAAAACGTGACTAAAAAGATTACTGCATATGGCACATATATACCTGTTATCAGGATCAATTGTCAGAGCTCGTTTGATATCAGCTTCAGCCTTTTCAAGTTCAGATATTCTTAGGTATACTTGAGATCGTCTAAACAGAGCCTTGACATTCAATGGATCGAGTTCTAAAACCTGTCACAAATTTTAAAAATGTATTTAATCTCTTTTTACACAGATAACTAAAAATGATAAAATGATTGTTATACCAAATTGATGTAGGATTTAGTATGCATGACAATGGGAAGATTTCTGATACAGAACATGGATCATAAAGAATTTTCCTAATTTGATATTAATTCTAGAATGTGCATGACCAAATACAGGCGCATATAAAACACAAACCTTTGTACATAATCTTGAAGCTTGAAGGTTTTCTCCGAGTTTAAGTTTACATGCAGCATTATTCAAATTGCATGATAAGCGCAAAGCATTAGCTTGGGACTTCTCATCTTCATTGAAAGAGTGGTCAAATTCGACATATTTTGAAGCCTGCAAAATGTAGTTGATTGTTTAAGCTTGCATACATGATCATTTATGGAAGACTCATGTCCCAATACCATGAATCCTATACATAAGTGTAGTCTAATTGAGCTACCTTCTCATATTTCTTGGAGGCGCGCTGAAACTTTCCAGCCTTGAACAGTAGATTTCCGTCATGCTTTTTCATTTCACAAGCTTCTATTTTCTCATTTGTGTCCATCTTCCAAAATGGTTTCTCCTGCATTAAGAAAGAAATATCTTCTTCTTTTTCCCGGTAAATTAAGAAAGGAATATCAGAACAATGAAAGTCAAAGCTCAAAGTGGGCGTTACAATGGATCAAAATACTACTTTAAGATTGAGTTTGACAATAGCAAGTGGTGTTTCAAGGTATCTATCATTGTAGTTTTAAGTAAAGGGACTACTTTCTGCTATGTTATACATTCTCTTGTACAGATTGAATGTAATTCAAGAAGTTAAATAGAATTTAGAGCGAAAATGTAAATAGCAGCAGTAGTATTTACTATTTAGAGTTGACATACATAGTAGTTATTTGAAGGGTAGGATAGTCAAGATCTCTGCACCTAGGGTTTTGATTCTTACTAAGAAACTCTGCAAAACTGCGAAAATCTGCATGATTCTGAATACCAATATGAAAGACTTTATTTTTTTTTTGGTAGTCTTGAGCCACTGCTTTCTTCACCCAATTGAATTGTTTACTTCAGTGTCCTAATATGTCATATCATAATTCACCTATTTTCATGAAGGTTGATTACTTTTCATGGTGACAAAAACTTCCACAAGAGCACATTAGCAATACCGTCATCAACACACCAAATGAATTGTCTACTTTATCATGAGAAAAGCTCCAGGATGGTTAAAAAGGTAAAGAACTAACCAAAATTCAAGATATTTTTAGCTAGACCAGTTTTTCAGACAGAAGTAAAGAGAAAAAATAAAACCTTAAATTATTAAATCAACCTTGGTGAAGTTAATCAACTCGACTTCATAAAGAAGAACTGAATCTGGGGAAACCATTCCCACAGTTTCATTGCCATGGACAACATTAGAGCTGACAGTCACGGCTGCTTGTTCTCCTTTTCTCATAGTCATGATTGCTCTATCCAAACCTTCATTGATTTGTTCTGCAGAGGAATAAGAAGAAAAAAAAAAGAAAAAGAAAAAGAACCAGGTTCAATAAGATAGCAAAGTAATGTTTATCTCTTAAAAAAAGTGCTCTATAAAATTATAAATACCTTCGAAACACATATACTCAAAAGGTTCCTCATTGGATCCTTTCCTTTCGAAAACAGTTCCGTCTTCAAGTTTACCAATATACATCACTACAAAAGCAGAAATATAGTTTTGGCTTCAAAACTTCAGAAGAATCAGAACATTGACAAAATAAGATATCTGAAAAAGATCATTTAAATTTTATCACCTAGCACTCTAGCAGGAGGTTTATTCAGCTATAAAATTAAAATGGTTAGCATTCATGCTAGTTACCTTTTGCAACAGAACCTTCGTTGGGATGGTCAAAGCCTTCACCGGCTTTCAATATCTTTTTGAGGACCTTTTTATCTCCAGTGACATCAATGACACTCTTCCATGATACCAGTTCAAGATGGATAATTAAATCTGAATTACATGGAATATCACCACCAATTCCAGTAATTCCACTTCCATTTTGTGTAAAGCCATCTAAGAAAGAGCCAATTAGGATTTATAATTGGTCTTGCTAAAAGAAGGAGAAATTCGTCACATTGTATCAGAAGAATGAGAACATGAGCTTACATGAGAACTTCACTGATAACTCTGCTTTCTCACCCTTCCTCATCGTCTTCACTGCTATGCTCATCGCAGGACACAGAAAACCTAATCAAAATAAAAGTAGTAAATAGATCAAACCTTCCTAGGACAATGGAAATAATTATGCACATTTTGTATGCATAATGAAATTAAAGGAAATAAGGTAATACTCAAGAAGAGCTAATGAGCAAGTTTAAGTTACCGTTTGTTAAAGAAAATTCCACACCCTCATTGGAATTAGAGAGAACTGTTCCATCCTGAAGCATTGAATACTTAACTACAACAACAAAAACTATATCACAAACTCCAACCAACCAATTCAAAATGGAATTTGTACAATAGTTGAATGTGGAGGTGAAAATGTTCTTCATTTAAAGGAAGTCCAATTTTAATGACTCCATTATTTTTTTCATTGAAAAAATATGTAAAACTTGAGCAAAATCCAAGTTGGTCAAGGAAAGAATATATAAATATAAAATCAAAATCATCGAAAAACAAATTGATGTACAAGTCTTACCATGTTTAGATGACAATTATCAACAACCTTTCTCACATTATTTAACAAATGCAATCTGCTTTGTCATTTTTATGAGCATTTCAAAATGAAATTTTCAACAATGGTTTCCAATCTATTGAACATTAAGTCACAAATTCGAGACATTACCAAAAACTTCATCAGCATCTTTGGGAGTAGCCCATCCCTCACCATCCCTTGTCATCTTCTTCAGTATTCCTCCATCCCCAGTTATATCTGTTATGGTGTTCCATGATACCAACTCCACATCAAAAATAAGTGTTGAATTCGGCGGAATCAGAGGTTCAGAACCCACCTCCCCATAGGCCAAATCCGGTGGTACGGTGAAAATTGCCTTTTCCCTAATCTTCATGGTGCCAATTCCCTCATCCAATCCTTTGATTACTTCACCTGAAATCCAATGTGTGAACAAACCTCATTGCTAAACCTTTAAGAAAACTACCAAACATAACAACAATGTATTCTTCTTTAATGATTACAATAGAACACTAAGAACAGGAACATTTTTTTCCCATTTAAATTGACTACATCTATCTATCTAAAGTGAAAATAATCAAATTCAGAAGGGAACAATAAATATCATCAATTCTCTGTTTATTCTAATTCATGAAAATTTTCCCCCAAAATTAAAAAAAAAATTAAAAATTACCCAATGGAATTGGAACATGGGAATTGAGATAATGTAATACTACAACATACCTTGCCCTAATTTGAATTTGAAAGCAGTTCCTTCACTGCTCGAATTGAGATATGGCCCGTGCTGAACATGCACACTGTAATGGACTGAAACAAGAGATTCAGATAGAACAGGGGTGATATTTTCGTGGAGGGAAATTCAAACACACGCAAATACATTTGTGTGTGTGTGTGTGTAAAGAGGCAAATCAGTGAGGCATAGAGAAAAGTAGGAGATGAAATGGGAAGTTGTGAAGTAGGTGGTACCTTCAACTTCATCGCCTGGAAATGGAGTTTTCCATGAAACTCCCTTTTGGGTAATCCTTTTTCGTAAGCCTTCACTTCCAATTTCAGTTTCTTCTGAAACTTCCATTGATGAGAGAGAGATAGACGGACGAGAGAGAGATAGACAGACAGAAACTCAGTTTTATAGATAAGCCATTTGTGTGTGAGAGTGTGTGTTTTTTTTGTGTTTCAATTGAAGATAAGCCGTTAGTTTCCCTCCTCGGGTTGGGTCTTGGTTGAGATTTTTTTTTGGGTAGGTGGAAGAATCAACTAACTGGGTGAGATGACTCGCGGGTCAACCCGGAAACGGCTAGATTCCGAGTCTATTATCTGCTCTCTCTTGAACACCAAAATTGAAACCCTCCCGTTTGAAAGTATATTATTTAATCCCAAAAAAACATACAATTACAATGATATTAGGTTTGGTAGGATTGATTAGGTTCTTTGAATAGAAAGAAATTTAGTTTAAATTTTTACCTAAATTTTTTCAAAATTTAAATTCAAATCGTGAATTCAGTATTGCCAAATATAACATTAAATTTGTTTTAAACAAATCGTGCGTACTTTTATTATGATCTTACATTTTAAAGAATTATTTATTTATAATAAAGGGAGCTTAAGGAATAGAGTATATTAGTCCATTGAAAAATTTCAAATTCCCAAGTGTGTGTATTAATTAGAGCATAATTTATTACAACCATTTGTGCAATTAATAAATAATAATCAAAGCGATTATGTGAGCTACAACTACCTTCTTCTGGTGGATCTAACCAAATTTCATTTCATTTCCCTTTCATTTGTAGCAAAAGCTTCAAAAAAGATAATGAGGAATGTTAAGGACAGTCGCTCATCTCATTGGCTACTTTAAATCTTATTAATTATTATCTCTCTATTACCCAGGAACGTTAACAAAACTTTCTTTTAAAAGACAAAATTACCTTTTAAATCATTTTTCATTACCTTTCTTATATCTCCCCCCTCAATCCATATACATGTAGTATAAATATATATTTTAGTGCCTTTATTTCTTTCCTTTTTATTTCAATTTTTGCCACTAGTTAATTATTTTCTTCTTTTTTTCTTTATTTCCCTTTTTTTTCTAAATTGTTGCCATTAGCCTATTTACGTCCTTCCGTTATTTTTTTTTTATTTTTTTTTTTAAACTAGAAAAAATAAGAACAGGGGAATGTTCACCAAATTTAAAAAAAAATTTAAGAACAGTGCGACGATTGAAATAAATTTTTTTTAATGAATATATTCTTTTTTATAAGTCCATCATATTTTTTAGTGTACCCTCAATTCATTTTTTTCTTATTTTTTTCTAAATTGTTTCGGTTTAATAACAAATTTGGTGAACATCCCCCTATTCTTATTTGTTCTGGGTTAAAATTTAATAACAATTTGGTTTAATAAATTTTTTTCTAAATTTGGTGAACATTTCCCTGTTCTTATTTGTTCTAGTTAAAAAAAAAAATTTGAAAGGAAAGATGGAAAAAGGCTAATGGCAACAATTTAGAAAAAAAAAAAAAAAGGAGGGAGGGGGGGAAGAAAAAAAAGGGAGAAAAAAAAAATAACTAGGGATGACAATTGAAATAAAAAGGAAAGAAATAAAGGCCGTATATATATACATATTATACGTATATGGATTGAAGGAGGAGATAAAGGTAATGAAAAATGATTTAAAAGATAATTTTATCTTTTAAAGGTAAGATAATTAATGAAATTTAAAGTAACCAATAAGACGAGTGATTGTGAAAAGACAGTCGCTCAAAGATGATTTGTGTCAAAAATACATGGAAGTTTTGTTAATTTAACCCTTTTTCAAAGTACCACATCTCACTTAGACTGACCTGAATAATAGGCCTGGTCCGAGGCCCGATAAAAAATGAAGTGAAAATAGGCTTGTGGGCTATAGGGCATAGCCTATGCCCACACTTTGGGCCTGATAGGCCATGCATCGATCTCATAAGCTTATCAGGCAGATCAACCCTTCACACTTGCATCGAGCAATTGGTGTCAAAGCAACATAAGAATTGTGCAGAAATAGTACTTATTTTTTTAAATGCGTATTCCAACCCATAAAAATTTAAAAAGGTGTAAGTAAACTCCTTTGACAATTTTTTTTGATCAAAATTGACATAAAATAAATTTAAAAGTCCTATTTTGCCCTCAGGTTAAGTGCAAAAAAACCCTCTTTACTATCGATATAGTGCAAAACAGTCACTATGTGGTATAAAACCCCCATATACTATTAATTTAGTGCAATAACCCCGTTCGGATAAAAAGACATTAATACCCTCTCTGATATAAATTCTTTGACATTAATACCCTCTCTAATATTTTGCCCTTGGGTTTTTTGCACTTAACCCAAGGGCAAAATGGGGGTTTTGAATTTATTTTATGTCAATTTTGATCAACATGTGGTCAGAGGGGCTTATTTGCACTCTTTTTTTTTTTTTTTAAAAAAAAATTTATGGACTGAAATGTATAATTTTTTTTAAAAGTATGGACTATTTTTACACAAACCATAAATATCAGACGGGATTTTTTGCACTTAATCTTTTTATTTTTAATTGAATATACATAAACTTATTTTCATGAAAGTGCCATGCAAATAAATAAATAAAAATAAAGAAAACAAGGCAAACTTGTGTTTATGCATGCATGCATGCACAGGAAGAGAGAGAGAGTAAATATTTAATTACTTGGTAATTTAATATTAGATTGAGAAATTGTGGTAGCAATGTCATACCCATGATTAAATGTTGGATAGGATAATTCAGTTCCATATCCACATTGTCGTGTATTGTAATGCTTATTGGAATTCCAATACATTTTATCATTCTAAAAAGGACCCTACAAACAGCCACTTCTCCATCACCATAATTGCATATATATATAAAATCAACCTTGTGATGTAATGTATGTGAATATCTAATCTTATACTACTAATTTAATGAAACGAATAATTACATAATAAACAATTAATACCAGTTTATGACTAAAATCGATCTACAAGAATCATGACACAATTGCATCTTCTGGTGAAGTGCTCCCTTTTGACATCATTAGATGCAAGGTATAACACTTGGCTTTTTCAAGCATCGATCATATCATATGTTTTTAATTTATACCACTTAGAGATAAGAATATATCTTTATAGTCTCATCTTTATTTATTAGTTTTTAAGTTTGTAAAAGTAAGATATGGTATTATATGTAAGTATGCATCAGCAGTTCAGTACGTCGACTTAGCCTACTTAGGGTAGTGACCTATGTTTATATTTAATATTAATTTACTTCTATCAATACGCCTCCTCAAAATTCTTCATCTTTTTCTTGATTTTCTCCTTCAAATTCCAAAATAAAAAATAAAAAACTTAGCTTTGTACACATAGGTATATATATACATACTCTATCATCGTGTGCACTTGTACTTTTACTATAAAATATTTATTAATTATAAAATGCCCCCACAACTTTTATCTTTTGCCCCTTTTTGTCTTTGACAGTGTACAATAAATTGAGAAATAACCCTTCAAAAAAAAATAATAAATTGAGAAAATAGTGAATGAATTATAACTTTTTTGTATTTATTGATTGAGAAATATATATTTAGTAAGGTCGGTAATAAGGTTATTATGCAAGATTTTCAAAATGAAAAAAATTATCAATCTATATATATATCTAAGTTGAGAATTGGTCATAACTAAATAAATTTTTGGTTTCTTCACAAATGACATGACTGGCTGGATTCGATCACAAAATAGTCTCATTTATTGTTGTGTTGATCCTAATCATTCTTATATATGTTGTATTTGAGATTATCGAATTAGTGCTTTGAAATCAAAATTAAAAAAATTTTAATTGAAATTTTAATTAAAATTTAAATCGTCGATTCAATGCTTCAAACATAACAGTAGTTAAAAAAACTATAGGTGCATTTGAATAGGATTTTGGTTGGCATTTGGAAATGTAGTACATTGCAAATAAAGAAAAGCCACAACATCCAAATTCCATGATAAAATTTTGATTAAAGAACATACAAATAAGGTAGTGGGATATGGTTTTAAATTGATTTGTAACCTATTGTGTGTCTCCCATCAATAGGACAAATATTCTTTGAGAGTGGTTACTGCTGAGAAACCAGAAAAAGAGAAAGAAAAGATACGCATTATTAAAGTTATCTGTGGTGAATCGATGTTGCTCAATCATGTTGATCAGTGCTGCCCAGAACTTAAGCTCTAGTCATTATCCAAGTTGAAGAGTGGGTTTTGTTTTGACTTTAATTTTCAACCAAAAATAAATAAATAAATAATTGTTGAAGTCTACGTGTTTCTTCTGTTTACTAATAAGAGAAATAGGAATGTTTATACACTAATTGTAATTAAAATTAAAATTATTTGATGCCTAATGGTGATTTTCTTGTCATTATTTTTCTCTATGAAATATTTTAGAAGTCATTTGGCCACATTAGAGGGTGTTTTATTTCTCAGATAGTTTGAATATAGGATAGGTTTGAAAATTATAGGAGGGATGTTATTCAATCTGAATTCATTTATATATATAGTTTTAAACTTTGCCAACAAGCTCAATTGGAGTAGTGTGATTATCAGTTTCAAAGTTATAATGATTTTTTGGCAAAAAAATGTGGAAAAATATTTGAAGATTGCGAATGACCACATTTGAGATTTTATTGGAACACTATATATGACAATGACCTGTTATATATATACGTCGATTTCATGGCTGAAGATTTTAACCCTTGGATGTCAAAGACAATGAAAATTGCATGGAAGCATCTTACTAACTTACTAAGCATGTCTGCCTCTAACCAGTCACCACTTATATTCTCATAAATTCAGTAATATACGATTTTTTTTGGACCATATATATATATATACACACACACACACATATGTCCTTTTCACTTTTCATAGTGGTTCCATGTTGGCAAATTCTCGGTATTAATATTCATGTCTGGAAGATGCTGGCCTTTCTATTTAATCATAAAGTTAATGGAAATACGTGTTTTATACCTAATATTCTGTCAGTACCTAAAAACACTACAAGAGAAAAAACCTTCCATCAAACAAATTCCAAAAACTAATCCTTTTCTATTCGGCCAGAGTGTAAATTAAGATAAGAATTTGTTCAATTGCAGAAAGAAGAAAGAGTTATTTCATCGGTTATGCTAAGGCACGGAATTGGTTAAGGACAAGTGGGGTGGATGGGAATTTTTTTTATTTGCATTATTATTTATACTTTTTATTAAAATTTAAAAATTGTCTCCTCTCAATTTGTAAAAATTTTTAAAATGTCTCCTCAATTTGTAAAATTACCACACCTCGCATTCTTGCCCTCACTGATTTTTTGAATACAAAAGATAATCATCTTTTTTTCACTCTCTACCATCGGCCACGTTCATGATTCTTTCTTACACACTTTGATACATTTTTAAAAATACACACTATATATATTCTTGCGTTTTAGATAAAAAAAATAATAATAAAGTAAATCATCTTTCTTATTTCTTTACGTCCCACATCCACGGTAATCTAAAAACCACGGATACGATTAAAAGATAACAGAATCTGAGTCAAACAAGCTACAAAAAATTAAATTCTTATATTTATTATTTTATTTTAAAAAATTATCTTCAATTTTTTTATTCTTTAACATCGCCCCACTCAAAAAAAATTCGAGCTCCGTCACTTATGCTTACCTTGCTATAAAACCGTCTTTTTGACTAAAGAAAATTAATTAGAGCTACCTTAACTTTGATGTCACGTTAGAGATTAACATTTATTCCCAAACTTAAACTATTTAGAGAATAGATTCAATAACATATACAATATTCAATTCTGACATAAATGTAAGCTTTAACTTGATTGACAATGAAAGAATTGACTCTCCAAGCATTGTGGTCCAATGGTATATATAGAAATACGTGTCATCTACACAATAGATGAGCATATAGGAATTGAGATTTGGGACTCATAGCATTGCTATATCTAATGTCAAAGGAACCTAAACTTAGCTAGTGTTCCTTGACAAGTTACTGAGTCCCAATATTGTAGTGGAATCCAAGATGCCAAATTCCTGCTCTCAATCCTTATCTGTCTCTCTCTCAACTATTTTAATTTGCTACCACTCTTTATCCTCCTTCAGGGTTTTGTATAATATATATATATATATATATATATTGTAGTAAGATAGTTATGTGCTTAAATCATTAGGACAAGGGGTGATATGCCAAAATTTTACTACTGTATATTGCAGGCGATATTAACACTTACTTTTTTAGTGACGTATTTGTCTGTTTTTTTTTTTTTTTCTTAGCGGTTTCCAAATAATTATAATGTATTATTATGGAATATAGCAGTAGAATAATAATAATAATAATAACATATTTACATAATTAGGGTAACAGAATGAAGTTTCTCAATTTATAGAAATTGTGATTTAAAAGATAATTCATTACGACGTATATTAAATACTTTTCTTATTAATATCTGGTGCCATAGTAAAAAAACAAATGGTCAAAAATCTCTTCATCATCTACTTCTTTTTCTTTCTTTTTTCCTCACATATTATACAAATAAACTAGAGGTGTATTACTTACCGACAAAATGGCAAATCTCTTCATCATCTACTTCTTTTTCTTTCTTTTTTCCTCACATATTATACAAATAAACTAGAGGTGTATTACTTACCGACAAAATGGCAAAAAAAAAAAAAAAAACTGCAGGTGTATTTTTATGTATCATATCAAAACTCAAAAGATGTTGAACAGTGTAAAGAAGAGGATAGATAGGGACTGCCATAAATCAAAATATTACACTGATCCAACCACATGAATTAAGCTCAACTCATCCACAAATATTTGTAAAAAATAAAGTGAAAAAAAAAAAAAAAAAAAGAAGTTATCCACTAGCCCACTAAATGGAATATGAATCAGAAGTGAGCAAATTTTACTAGTACAGAAATTTAGAGAATTATTCAGTTGGACGTGACACATGCCAGCAAATTGTTAAAAAAAAGGTTCTGCAAATCTCCTCATTTTCCTTTCATCTAAATTTCAGAATATTTGCTTACATGAAAGGTATCGAACAAGGTTCATAATTTAACCCAAAAAAAGAAAATTGAAGAGGAAAAAAGTAAAATAAAGTACAAAAAAACCCTCATCCCATGCCTTTCCAAATGAAAATCACTCTCTATTTTTTTCTCAGTGTTATAAAATGCCCTCTTTCTTTCTCTCTTTTTCTTCCTTCTCCATGCACTTTCTCAACTGATCATACTTTTGGAGCTTCCATAGCTACCATGGGGGTTTGTGGAATTGGAGCCCTAATGTCAACTGATATCTTCTTAGCTTCATTTTTCTGCATCTCAATGTCATTTTCTTCCATTTCATGGATCATTGTCATACTACTCTGTCCATTGCCTCCATTAAATCCCTTTACTGGCTCAGGGATCTTCTCCGCTTCCTTCTCTTTGTACTCCTTGTACTTGCCCCACAGAACCGAGTAAAGTCCGGCCACGATCAGTATGGCACCAAGAACACTGAACCAGCAAGTAAAGAAACATCAGTTGTGGGATAAATTAAATTAAATTAAAATCACTTTTGAGATTGACAGTGAAATGCTTTTCATGTTTAATTATAATTCTCTCCTTAGAATCACTGATAGTTATATATATATATATATATATATATATATATATATATATATATATATATTGTTGAAAATTATAGGAATGAAATAGGAAATTAAATAGTGGCCGGGAAGCTTTTTGCATTATAGGCTTAACTGGGGAAATATATTTATCTTCCTCAGTTGATAAAATTAAGTATTCCACTAATTAAAGAGAAACTTACCCTCCAACATATATCTTTTCAGCCAGGATAAAAGAGCCCATGATTGCCACTATGATCATCATTAGAGGGCTGAAAGCAGTCACAAAGACAGGCCCTCTTTTCTGCATGACCAGACCTTGTACATAGTATGCAATGCTTGATGACACTATACCCTGTAGGTCATTAAAAAGTTACTTTTTTATATAGTTTACTATTTCATACATATATATATTTATATAGATATAGAGGGAATGCTTACAGCATAGGCAGCAGCTAGAAGGTTCATGTCCCAGCCAATGGTCCAAACAGATGGATTGTGTTCCATGACAAAAGTGACAGCAGCAGATTGCAAAGTGCCCATGAAGACTACTAGTGCAGTGAGTGAGAGGTGAGCTGTGTATGTCCTCATTGTAATTGCCTGAAGGATGAAGAAAGAAGCCCAGGCAAATGTAGCAATGATGAGGAGAATGGAACCCTTAAACCAGTCCTTGTCGGTGGTGTCATGAGACGGGACATTGGTTTGAGGAGGATGTATGTGCTCAGACCACACAAGGTTAATCACATGACCCTTGTACAATGTCATCAACATGGCTCCAGCCACTGTCACTATGGTTCCTATCACCTTTGCTTGGCATCTGATCTTCTTCATGTCTAGTTTCTCCATCCTTTCCATTCCCGGCCACAAATTAAAATTATTCAATTTGTTAGTCACAAACACCAATATTAAAAACAGATGATATAATAATATAATATTTTTAATATCATCTGTTTTAAAAACAGACGATGTCCCTCAATAGAGACGTGTGTATAAGTACCAACTAAGAAAAAAAAAGTGAGAAAAACAGATGATGATGATATATATACACACACATATATACCTGAAAAGGACAGCCATGACGAATGTCATTGCCGGGAGCATGTTACTCATGGCACAAGAAAAAGTAGGGGATGTGAATTTTAGTCCCGCGTAGTAAAAGTTTTGATCAATCACAGGCCTGTGAAATATCAAACATATATATTATTAAGAATAAATATATGTATTTTGTTCAATGAATGCAATCTTTCACCACATGATCAGAGAATACTCACCCTAGGAGTCCCAACGCGAAAATTTGTATAAAAATTGGAAATGTGATTTTTGGCCTCACTTTCCTGTAAAGAAGCAAACATGGGTAAATCACAATTTGCTTCTAAAAAAGACTTTATAGTAAAACATTTTTTTTTTCTTCTTTAGAAGCAAAAGTAGTTTTACCTCTCAAGAACAATAGCGAAGGGAGCGATGACTGCAGTAGCGAAGGCATGTCTATAGACGACTAGGACATAATGACTCATGCCTCTATTGAGAGAAACTTTGGTTATAATGTTCATGCCGGCATAGCCAAATTGCAGACAAATCATGGCTATGTATGGCTTGGCCCTCTGGACAAAATTACCAAGACATCCATTTCCCTCCATTCTTTTTTCTTAGCTAAGAAGAAAACAGAACTCAAGGAAGAAGAAGAAGACGAGGAGGGAGTGACGAAGAGGAACAACACTTGAAAGATGCTTGTGTTTTCCTAAGGAGAACATGTTGAGACACCCCCATATTTATAAGGACTTTCTAGGATCTCTTCTAATCTAATCCTATACGTACAAATGGTTTATTTAAAATTAAAAAAAAAAAATGAGTTTGAAGCGTATGAGAATCTCACTCCTACAGGTGCATGAGAGGTACTGTGACAGTGGTTCTTCGCATCTAATTCAATATTCTGATTAGCTAATTAATGTCTATATCCATACAAGGGTATTGTGGGTTCCACGTGGCAGCAATTACGATTTGATTATATTGGGTGGGATCCATTAGCTTGGATGGGTGGCAAGTGAGTTGAGATATGCCAAAACAAAGGTGAGGTTAGTGCAATGCTGATGAAATTGAGGGGTATCATTGGGTTGTGGTGGTGGGATTTGATTGTCAACCCACTATGGGCAAATCAGTGACGGACCTAGAAAATTATTTAAAGAGCAATAATTTTAAAATAATAATAAAATTAAAAAATAAAAATTCATAAAAAGTGAACTACCATTAATTGATATCTTGATTGAATACATTTTTTATATTTTGAAAATGTGTTGCACCGATATTTTCATTGAGTGCATTTGCCAACTGTTGCCATATTTTGAAAATATTGTATAATAATTGAACATAAAAAAGTTTAACAATTACAATTTTCAAGAGAGGGAGAGAGTCTATGAGCAATCATCGTTAAAAGCTGAGTCACGGAGTGTGAAAATAAGAGAGGGAAAGTTGTGACAGTGAAAATTAAAACTTTAGTACAATCGGGTTTACATAAAAGAGGTTTTAGTGAATATTTTGTAGTTATTTTATTAAAATTTTAACAAAAGCATAGATACAAAATGAAAAAAAATAATAATAATACATTAATGGGCTGGTAATAATTAAAAAGAACTTTGTGTGTTTGTTAGTTAGTTAGTTTTTTTTTTTTTTTTTTTTTCATAATAGACTTGATGCTCTGTCAAGCAAATGGAGAAAGTACACACACACGACTGTGAGTAGTGGCATGCATGATTGAAATCAATCAAAGCTCAAGGGACAAACAAATTGAAGTACCTCTTTGAATCATTCTAGGAGTTGAAATCATTTCATTATGAGTACGTTGTAGGATGCTACTTTCAATTTTCATGGCATTTGATAGATTCAATTTTAATTTCTAACAATATCACGCCTAAATAATATGCATTTATTTAAATTTAGCTTGAAATTTTAGAAAGAAGATTTTCTTAAGGAAATCAAGGACCAAATGAGCAATGGTCTATCTGATACAAACTTGGCCTCCATGGTTAGGAATTTAAGTTTTAGTGAAGGCATGTACGAGAGTTTGTTTTACCATTAAAAAAAAAATGAATTTTGTTAAGGAAGAATGCATATATGATTGATTACTAGTTGCTGAGTATTATTCGTCGTGCTGTTATAAAAATCAAATGTGTTGATATTATATTCTATTATATAGATAGTGTCTCGGAACCGAAAATAGTATTACTATTTTTTAGCCAACTGCACAAACTCTCCAATCAGAATTTAGGTTGCCATTTTTAAAGCACAGCAATAATCAAATCACAAGCCTACCTAGCTCCTTGTGTATCATTTTTCATAATATAGTGTATGCCTTGATACTACTCCTATACTAACTTCTTCCCAAAAAATTTAAGGGGCCTAAATCCTAACGCAAGGCCCTAGATAAAACCTAAAATTTCCTTCTCGGGAAAGCATACTAGTTTAGTAAAATGCAAAATGACCAAAATAGCCTTTCCCTTTTAAAAAAAAAGATCTAGAGACATGGTTAAGTGGACCAACAGGGACCAAATGGGCATCTAATCATCCCAACATTGATTCATGACACGAAATGTAAGACCCCCACAAATGATGGCAACGAGTACAGTAACCAAATGGGCATGGTCTGTTCATTTTTATGACAAATGATTCTTGTTGGTTTAGGGACCTTTAGGATATGATTGGACAAAAATTAAAAAGATGTATAATAATGTGGACGTGATTAATTGGGTACCCTTAGAAATGTGTCCTACAATTTGAAATGAAACCGAGTGGGGACCGTGGAGGGCCGTAAAGGGTCCATTGAGGTTGCAAGGTGTTGGAATTACAGAGGCAGTTTCCAGGAGGTAGGTACAAGTTGTCTTTTAATTTGTCCACATAAGATTTCAGTAGTAGGATGTGTGAGATTCCACTATAAACCGATAGGGTTTCAACTGGCCAATGGTGGTCCGATGAATCAAGAACCATTGAAGCCACTTGATTTTGTCATCATGTTTGATACAACTGTTTTTTTTTTTTTTTTTTTTTTTTTTTTTTTTTCTTCTTCATTTATTAATATGCTTAGACGTATGCTTGCACGCTCACAAATACTCATAATAAGATTCGGACCTTACCCTTCACCTTTCTTTCTTTTAAGGGATGAGAGATTATACCACATGTGCTCTTAGTCTAATAATAACTTTTTTTGGTTTTTTTTTTTTTTTTTTTTTGCCGAAAGTTAAACTAAGTGCACACTCACACTCACTCGTTATATGTTGTAATTACCGGGACTCGAATACTCAATCTCCCTTTTTAAGAGTAATGCTATCAAGAAAATCTTACAAGGACAAGAGCGATGGATTCTATGTGGGTTGAAAATATATTAATTAATTTATTTGACTTTTAACATATCTCAAAAAGTGTCTCAATGATAATAGAGTTCTCTTGATGACAAGAGCGTTGGGTTCCATGTGGGTTGAAAATATATTACCAAACACCATAAAATAGTGTGAGATTTGGTACTTACTTTAATTTTCCTTTTTCTTTTTTCTTTTTTAATTTTTAATTTATTTTTATCTATTTTATAAAAGGAGAATGCCTAGTCTAGTGCATTAGCCTTTTAGAAAGATCCCTTTTAATCGAGTCAAAAAAAAATGATACATGGATTCAACCGTGTCATCGCATGAGCTCTTGAATGCAATTTTACAAGCAAATTGCTGCTTAGAGGCCCACATCCACTCGTGCACTCAAATCTCTCTCTCTTTTTACAGACACTTTTGAATCACTACGTACTCACACCTCTTGCATTTTATATATGTTCATTCATGATGTTTTAGAAAGCAGAAGATACACACACACACACACACACACACACAGTTGTTTTTCATCTTGTAGCTATTAGTGCAACCTTTACAATCCATTATATATATAAAAAAAAATTAGTGCTAACCACTTTAATCTCATATATTTCACCAGTTTGCTTGTTTGCTTCAATAGCATCCAAATAATTAAAAGTAGTCCTTTCAATTGCGCACACTTTTTCATTCACATAATATCTTGATTTAGCGATAAATCAACCAAACACAAACCATATATGTCATTCATTGAAGCAAAGCTCTTTGTTTTAAGTGTAACTTTTTTTTTTTTTTTTAAGTTTCAAAAACACCCATTTTCTTTCATAAAAAGTCATCAATTATTGAAACCAAATGATACATATGAAAATATTATATATCCCATTCAAAAAAGTTGTGGTCAAAGATTCATTTTTCTTACGTACGAACATACCACGACATGAATCTTTTATATGAATCATTTAACCCTTAAAGGCCTTTAAAGCCTTTGCTGTACAGCTTTTCTCTGTGTTCTTTGGCTAATCAGCTATTGATAATACTGAATTACACTTAAATGCGCTTACTTTTTATTTGAAAGCTTCGTTTATAAACAAAAAGAGAGCCAAAACAAGTTATACATATATATATAGTACCATAATAAGCGCATTGATTGCCTCTAGAACAGACATTGTGATTGTAGATTTTTGTATGGTAGTTAAAAGAACGCTAGCGAATAGAAACAATTATGAGTAATATAAAGTTTGTTGACCAAAAAGAAATTTTCAATCAATCATTGTGATTGGATATCATTCAAACACACCTCTTGAAATGTCAGATAGTATAAGAATCAAATGGCCCCTCAAACTATTGAAGAGATCAATATTGCAGGAATTTTTAATTATTTTAGAACTATTTTCTCTAACTTCATCTGATTTAGAATTATTTTAGGTTACTAATTAGTAATTACAAACTAAGATTGTATTGTTAACTACTAAAAGTTGTAACCTACTGATATCTCATTTATCTTTTTAAGTAATGGTTTTTACACAAATAATAAAAATAATAATAAGTAGTATGGCTAATTTTACCTGATTTCAAATTATATTATTTATCTTTTGTTAGATCACCATAGTCCCTCATTTCTCTCGGAGCATAAAAGACGGCAAAAGAAATAAGGTTGCAACTCAAGTGAGTTGGCAAGATTAAAGGTTTTTAAGTAATGGTTTTTACACAAATAATAAAAATAATAATAAGTAGTATGGCTAATTTTACCTGATTTCAAATTATATTATTTATCTTTTGTTAGATCACCATAGTCCCTCATTTCTCTCGGAGCATAAAAGACTGCAAAAGAAATAAGGTTGCAACTCACGTGAGTTGGCAAGATTAAAGGTTCAACTCAGGCTTAAACCGATGTATATAAAATGTTCAACCCTAATTCGACCTCAAACTCTAATTACTAAGCTCGAGCCTGAACCCAACTCATACGTACATTTTTAAACCCAAGTTTGCAACTCAAGTTGAGATTTTATATTCGAAAGTCAGGTAAATTATGGTTACTCATATAACTAATTTTAACATTGAAATGTTAATGTGATCTTAAGTTAGGTTCATATTAGATTTTTAACCTAGGCCAAACCTTAATTATAAAAAGGATAAATTACATAGACCTCCCCTATAGTTTGCTATAATTTCAAGAACCTCCCCTATGATTTGAAAATTTACTCGTACCTCCCATAAAAATGAAACTATCCTACACAGACCTCCCTTCTGTGTGACGGACCGTCAAATACACTAACGAACTTGTTAAATTTACTGAAATGCCCTCACGTTGCTATCTGAAATTACTAAATTACCTATCAGCTTTCACTACTGAAATGACAATTCACGTTTTTATTTGGAGATGTTTTGAAATTCTTATCCATGCTAAAAAAAATGTCAATAAAATACTATTACTCAATTTCATCACCATATCTTTGTTGATGACTTTGATGGTTACAAAGGTGCCAACAGAGGTTGCCGGAATGCTGGTGGTGGTTTGCAAGTTAATGCATATAATACAGAGAGAGAAAGTGAGAGAGGGGAGCTAGATAGATGAAGGGTATTGTGGGGATTTTATTTAATTAAGTGGATGACATCAGCAGAATCCGTCATTGACTGGCGTTCAGTAACAGAAGGGAGGTCCGTGTAGAATAATTTCATTTTTAGAAGAGATTCGAGTAAATTCCTAAACCATAAGAGATCGTCCCAATAATTATGCCAAACTATAAGGGAGGTCCCAATAATTATGACAAACCATAAGGAAGGTCTTTATAATTTTCCCTTATAAAAATGGTTGCCAAGTCTATAAAAAATTAGGCTAGGATTGGGTTGGGTTCGGTTGGCCCACCCAAGTTACACCCCCAAAAGAAAGGACAAGAAAGATGGCCAGAATTCAGTAGGAGAAAACTGTTTTAATAGGATCTCAAATGACCTAGGCTTAAAGTGTCCAATTACAACGGATGGCCCATTATGCAAAATGAAAGCCCAACATAAACAATAATGATTAATGACACAAATAGATGAGAGATGTTAAGGCTGTATCTTGGATTGATGAGCGCATTTATTTAATGTAAAAAAAATGTCCACAAGTTTAAGTTTCCTCTAAACAGGCTTTAATAACAGGCCCAAACGAGATTTTTCGGATTTTTTTTTTTCCGCTTTCTGCTTTATGGAGGCATTTGAAAATATGAAGGTATACAAAACACAATCTATGTTATACATTTTGTGGTGTAAAAAACACAATCTGTGTTAAACTTTGCGCCAGTTGTTGATAATATAAAGGATACTCAGTTATATTCCGGTACCTTCTCTGTTAAGTATTTTTAATTATACACATTTCTACCAGACATTAATTGCAAGAAATATCAAATAATTAAACCTCACAATTAATTGACGAGTCATGATATTGAGACTCTCCCTCTCAGTTGTAAGACGGTCTCCATCGTTTTCTTTAGATGATGCTAATTTAATAAATAAATAAAAAATCAACCTTCTTAGTAATGTGTTCACGCGTCATTAGTTTTTTCCTCTCTTACTATATATATTTTTTCCAAGAATGATGTCATAATTTATCTCTAAACATCTACAAGTTTTTAAGTATATAGTTGTTAAAGCACTACATCAACAATTTAATTAACTAATGATACGATATCGTGTGACTAAAAACACTATTACGTTACGCTTCCTCTTTCGATTTCCCTCATTATCATCAATCTTTATCTGTTATAATTGAAGATTTGGAAGATTTCATATATTTTTCTGAGTTAAGAAAATATTTTAAGATTTCACAACATCAAATAACTAATAGGTCATTTAGATCTCTTCTATCTTCCAGAGTTTTATCCCATTGCAACATCTAGTTAGTTGAATCACACACACACACACATATATATATAATATTATCACATATTCATTTAAATCTATATTCTTATTCACAAATTCTTAAAAATAAAAAAATAAAAAAAATAATTATACCCAAATTTGCATATTTTTACACAAACCCTTAAATTATTTTCAACTGTAATTTTGAAATATCTTTTTTTTTTGCGAAACTAATTTTAAGAAGGATAGTAATTAACAATATTCATTGGTGGATATAATATACCCCTCACTCCAATCATGCCAACAACAATTTTGATAGGAACTACGGATCTTGCTTTTGTAGTAAGAGTTGGCTGAGAAAGAATAATAAAATGCATTTTTAGTCAAAAGATAATGTAAAATTAAATACTTCTAAATGCTTGGAGATAAATTACCTTGTTGAATGTTGAGGATACTTTCCCTTTTAAAACACCCAAAAATGTGGTTTTGGGGGGTGGGGGGTTTCATTTCTCTCTTCTTTAGGAATATATATAGGATCCACCTGCTAAGTCGATCGGCTGGCAGTGTTATGATAATTGAGTGGTCCATTTAGCCCAATTGGCTGCCTAACTCCAGATTCTTATGGGCTGACCTAAGCTATTGAGTCACACTCTTCTTTCGTTTTTGACTTCTACATTATCATTTAAACACTAATAATAATAATTGAGCAAAGGTGGAATATATATGGTCAAGTAGCTAGTTGTAATTGGCGGAGGCTTATCCATCTATTCAAAAGTCTGGTTGGGTGGTTATTTATTTATTCAAAAATTTAAATTATTAAATAATGCTGTATACCCATTTATTTATACTCTTTTCACTTTTCATCCGCTCCTAATGTAGGACAAGCCTCCCTTGTAACACTAATCCACAAGACTGAAATTTTTAATTTAATCTTCATCCCTCCTCTCCAAAGATGAACTATATATATATATTTTTCCTGAATTAAATTAATTAAGGATCAATTGTATATAAGTGTTTTGCATAAGCTCTCATTTTTTTTTTTTCTTTTTCTTTTTTCTTTCAAAAAGTCCCCTCCATGTAATCAAGAGAAGTTACTTTTACTAAATCAAAGGGGCTTTTATGTTATGTTATATTATTTTTAATTGATCCAATTGCATAAATCCCTCTTACCTTAGTGGGAGTAATTTTATAATGAATCAAAAAGTAACCTCGATTGGTTGGAAGGAACTTTTTTAATCAAAATAATAATAATAATAATAAAATAAAATAAAATAATAATAATTATTTAACGAGTGCAACTCCTGCGCTCCAAACATGTTCTTATTACCCACACCCTAAAGAACCTTAGGCCCACCCCCCAAAAAACCTTTGCTGCTAATATGCATATTGAAGATAGATGGGCTCACCACGACCATTGTGGTGAAACCCTACAAGCATACCAAAAAAAACACTTTTGATACTCTCATGATCACGAGATATGCGTGCTCATTGGAATGGCTATCATAACTTCTTTTCTCTTCACCACGATTGAATGATGATTAAAAGACTTTCCTTTTCTTTTCTTTGGCAGGCGAGTGTATGATTTTTCCATAAGTAAAGGATACTCGGATGTAAACCAAAATATCAAATCACCAATCTGTGTCTATTGCACCTCCACGTGGGTTTTTTATTCTCTCATTCCCAAACTAAGTAATTAAAATTAAGAATTATTACAATTATATGGTGCTAATGATTCATATTTATCATTTAATGGAGTCAAAGTTTCATAATTTAAAAAAAATTAAGTTAGACCAAAATGTTGATATAGACATGAAAAAACATTATTTACCTTTGCTTACTGAGGTACCACTTTTTATACACTTTTATTTTGGACATAGAGATACCACTTTTATTCACGTAGATATCACTTTTTGTGCATTAAGTACTACTTTTTTGTGTAACACAAAAAGTGATGTTTATGTGTACAAAAAGTGGTACCTATGTGCCCAAAAGTGATACCTCAATGAGGATAAATATTATTTTTTTATATTTTTATTTTTTTGTAACTATAAATTTTTAATTACATTAAATGATAAATATGAGTTATTAGCATCATTTATCCGTAATAATCCCTTCAAATTAAATACCAGTCAACAATTCAAAAGCTAAAAACACCACTTTCATGATAATAGTAATAGTCATATAATTACGGAAACAAATCCTTCTATAATCCACCAATCCAACAGTCATAATTGTCTAATAATCATATTAATTTTACAAAATTTCACTAATAAGTTGTTGTTTCCTAATTCAGCTACTATCTTGTCCACCAATTCCATATAAGTGGGTATATCACACATTCAACACACCCCTGCCTCTCACGGACTGCCCTCCCCCTCTTCTTTCTCTCTCTCTGTCTCTCTCTCTCTGAAAATGGAACTCTTCTCTCTCCAAACACTCCTCTTCATCTCCATATTCTCTCTCTACCTCTACCGCATCTTCCTCCATCCAAAAGGGCCAAAACCCAAATCATCCACCACAACTACCGGCTTCAAAAAATACCCATTAGTCGGAAGCCTCCCGGAATTCCTCCTCAACCGCCATCGCTTCCTCGACTGGACCACTGCCGTCCTTTCTCGTTGCCCCACCAACTCCGCCGTCTTCCACCGCCCGGGCAACGTCCACGGCATCATCACTGCGAACCCCTCCAACGTCGAACACATGCTCAAGACCCACTTCGAGAATTACCCAAAAGGCCCTCGGTTCATCACCCTCCTCCAAGACTTCCTCGGCCGGGGAATCTTTAACTCCGACGGCGACCTCTGGAAGGTCCAGCGCAAAACCGCCAGTTACGAATTCAACACCAAGTCGCTCCGGAACTTCGTCATCCAAACCGTGAGCGTCGAGATCCAAACCCGGTTAATCCGGATCCTCCAAGACTCGGCTCGAACGAACCGGGTCTTGGATATGCAGGACGTGTTGGAGCGGTTCGCTTTTGATAGTATCTGTAAAGTGGCTTTCAACGTCGACCCGGGTTGTCTCGGTGGAGACGGAACCGCCGGCGGCGAGTTCATGGCAGCGTTCGACGAGGCGGCGACACTGAGTGCGGGTCGGTTTATGTATGCGTTACCGTATCTGTACAGGATCAAGAAGTTTTTCAACGTGGGTTCGGAGATTGGATTGAGGAATTCAATCTCGACCGTTCATGACTTTGCGGATAAGATCATACGATCGAGAATGGAGGAGAGGGCAGAGAGGAAAGACGAAGATCTACTGTCCCGGTTCATCGGGACGGAGGAGGACTCGCCGGAGTTTTTGCGAGACATCGTGATAAGCTTTATTCTGGCGGGGCGTGATACGACGTCGTCAGCTCTGAGTTGGTTCTTTTGGTTGCTGTCATCAAAACCGGACGTAGAGAAACGTATACTACAAGAGCTCGAATCAATTAGAGTTCAATACGGTAAAGCTTATTTTGAATTTTGTTATTGAAAGTTTAGCTTATTTTTTACCTTAAAAATGGTGTTTGTGTGAAATTGTTAAACCTGGAACGGATAACACCATACCAACACACTTGCCGTTTAAAAGCACAATCTTGTTTGGCTCTCATGTTTTTTATAACACCATTATGATGAATAGTTAGTTTTTATTGTCAAGAAAATAAAAAATTACTACTTTACTAGTCAAGGAGTAATAGTGTAGTTTGTACTTTAAGGATATTCCATATTTCTCCAACCTTTTTGTAGTTTTGTGTACTATTTTACTGAAAAAAGAAATTGTAGTTAGATGGTCTTATGGTGGGGTCACTATACTATTATATGCAAAGTTATTTTATGGTAGGGTAAAGTATAACATTGCTGCTTGAGGTTTGACAAAAGATATTTATAAAAAATTTACCTATTTTTTTAAACAAAAATATGACATTCCTTTACATGAGAAATTGACCAAATTACTTTTGACCGTTTAAATTTTTTTTTTAACTTTACCCTTTACTAAATTGGACTAATTTACACTCATGAACAATTTATTAAATACAACTTTCATTACAAGAAGGTGAAAACCCCAATCTACTCATGGTGTATTTGGAAGGTAAGGCCATATAATTTTTATAAAATTGGTGAATTTTTTTCAATTGGTCTCCTTTTAACACAAAAAAAAACTAATAAGAATGAAATAGTTTATAACTAGAATTAGCAAGTTTTCTGCTGTTTTTGTTTAGGATGAGTGCTCTAATTAGATGGTTTTTTCAGTATGACTAAAAAATGTAAACGAACTAAAAGAAGGTGCTTTCTTATTGTATTCAAGTCTGGTGATAAATTCCCTTGTAATGAAAGTTGTATTTAATAAAGTTTTGTTATTTTCCAACTGTTGTTCATGAGGGTAGATTAGTCCAATTTATTAAAGTGTAAAGTTTAAAAAGTTTCATAAACGGTCAAAAGGTAATTTGGTCAATTTTTCATGTAAAGGGGTGCCTTTGTCCATTTTTAAAACTTCAAAGGGTATCTTTGTCCAAAAAACAGATAAGTTTCTTTTTAGTGTCCTTTTGTCAAATCTCAAAGGGTGTGGTTATACTTTACCGTTTATATTAACATAAAAAGTAAAATGACATTGGTTTTACAAGGATAATACTGAACTTGTAAAATTAAAGTTCATACCCCTTGATGGTTAGTGTATTTTTTTTTAAGGGATAATTATACTTAATGCTTGAATAAGACTTTCCATCCGTTTTAAATATTAATACCTATCTTTCTTATGGATTAGGTGGTTTAGGTCGGACTAAAACTAGCCTTATAAAATTTGACACTTTTATTTGCTCGGATAATGTCATGATCAATATTTAAAATTTGAGAATGACTTTAGAAAGTTTGAAAGAGGGTGTCAATGGTATATTTGAAATTATATGAGGATTCATTGTTATTTATACAATTTTCAGGAGAAGCAAGTGTAATTATCTCATTTTTTAAAATAATAAAAGAGATAATTGTATAGGCATGGTAAAATAGTTTCTTTTTGAAGTATGTTTAATGATTTTGAAACTAATTTTAGGAGAAGTTCTCTCGCCCCATTTATAATGCAAAATGTATTATCTTACCTTTATATTTTTGCTATATATAAAATTTCTTTTATTATGTTTATTTGGTACAATTGTGTAAATTGCGGAAGAATGCTTATTTGAAATAATTTTTAAATATGTGTTTTTAAGACTAGAGGGGAAAATTAAGAAATTTTTTATTTTTTATTTTTTATTTTATATTTTATGAGTTGAACTTAAACAAAGGTGTGGTTAGATTGATTTGGGCAGAAGTCTAAAATTGAATTAATTGACTTAAAATTTTAATTGGTCCCTTATCTTTTCGTTCTTAAATTACTACTCTTTATATATAATGAAGTGAAGAACTTTATATTTTACATATATGATCAATTAAAATTGATAGCAAATCACCGTAACTAATCCAACTAAAAATCATTTTGCAGAATTCTTCCCCAAAAAAGAAGGCGAGAAAATGTAGGGGTTGTTTGTTAAATTATTCTGGACGGGCTGGGAATGAGGATGACTGAATTTTTAGGACCTTAACTTCAGTATTTGTATTTGTTTACAGGTAAAGAAAGAGGAGCTACTTATAGTTTCGACGAGCTTCGTCGAATGCATTATATGCAGGCGGCGATATCGGAGTCACTGCGGTTATATCCGCCGGTGCCGGTGGACACGAAGCTGTGTCAGGACGGCGATGTGATGCCGGACGGTACAGTGGTGGGGAAGGGGTGGTTTGTTACGTACCACACCTATGCCATGGGGAGGATGGAGGGCATTTGGGGAAAAGACTGTTACGAGTTTCGACCGGAACGTTGGATGGAGAACGGGACGTGTAGGCAAGAGAGTCCGTTCCGTTTTCCGGTTTTTCATGCCGGTCCGAGGATGTGTCTCGGGAAGGATATGGCGTATATTCAGATGAAGTCGATTGTAGCATCAGTTATGGAGAGGTTTGTGATTGATGTACAAGATAAGGACACATGTCCCGAACATTTGTTGTCGTTGACTCTCAGGATGAAAGGTGGTTTGCCTGTGAAAGTGAAAGAGAGATGTGTGGATTGGATTAATTGACTTACTTATTGTATGTTAGGTTTTGTTACATGGCAAAACAAGAATTATTATTTGTTTGATATATGTAGTGTTGTTCACCTGTATGATTGTAAAACAAAATCTATATACTCATATTTAAAATTATTATATTAGTGAATTTGTAACGTGAGACACAAATATGTTAGGCGGGTTGAGATTCTCAAAATTTTGAGAACCTAAGGCAAATTTTTAGATGCAATGCCCTTTATATATGAGGTTTTACATGAGTACAAAATTTATACAAGTACAAAATTTACATTAAAATTAGACGATAAATACATAATAAAATATATTAAGGTTAAAAATACACAAAACAAAAATTAGCCTTGTATTTTATAAAGAGTACAATCCAATTTACATTAAAAAATTTAAAAATATTCCACACAACTTAGTCACAAAAATCAAAATTTTACTTCATATAAAAGCAAATGTGATTATCTTACATTTTGAGATACAAAATTATAAATTAAAGCATTCCAATCACTGTCATAATTTTGTTGTATGAACTCAGTTGAGTTAAAAATTTGACACTTGATTACGTTCATGAGTTAAAATTTTAATAGTTGATTACAACGGTGAGTTAAAAATTTGGTTATTTAAACTGAGTTTAATTATCATCCAGGCACGTAAGCCCAAAACTAATATAATAATAAAAAAATTAATTTCTTGTTTAAATATAAAATATTTTTTTTTTCTTTTGAAAGAAAGGAATAGAAAAAAATTATTTTTACCATACAAATTATTATATTACATATATAAATTGATATTATAAATACGTGTTATAATTTTTTTTTTGAAAGTTATTTATTGTCATAAATTTACATGATATATGTTTTGTGTATTGTCTTTTACTTATGGAAATTATGGCTAAAATTGATGTCTTTTAATTGATTAAATGGCTAGTTACATTCAATTATGAAAAATTGTAATATTTTAGGCATATACTACTATATTACATTACAGTACTAAATTTGAGACCCTTTTCAATTGGAGGCCGTAGTGAATTATGGTTTTGTTCATATATTTGATTCGACAGAGTAAAAAAAATGCTAAATACTCACAAGTCACCATCTTTTACCTATAACAAATAAATAAATAAATAAATAGTCACCATCTTTATTAACCTGCATGAATCGTCGAAAGAGGAAGTTTAAGGTCATTGGCTTCTGCACTAAAATTTGTTGAATGATTCAAAGCAACTGATCTAACTTCCAACTTATAAACTTAAAATGATTGATGTTATGTCCGAAATGTTTAGTACTTCTTTTTAGAATACTGAAAATAAAACATTATATTTCATTTGCTGTTAGGATCTTCATCTTAGCATCGAAGTCTTGTCATGTGCTTTCTTATTTTCCCCCCAAAAAATAATTATTTTACATATATAAAACAATTTATATATTTTATTATTGAGAAATCTTGTCATATTATCTTTTGTCAACCACTTTTTTCTCAGCTATTACCCAAAAAAAAAAAAACTTAGTTTTATTTTCCCCAAAAGTAATTGTTTTACTTAATTTTTACTTCTAGATTTTTTCTTTAATTGAATATAATTGGATTAGTATAAGCAGCCGAAAGTATAACTTAATCAACTTATACTTCATGGTAAGCAAATTAAGAAATTAGTTGAGAGTTGTAATTTAGCTTGATTGGTCCCAGATTTTAGCTGGGAGTTGTGTAATTAAGAATTCTTATCCCAAAACCTACATGGTCAAAAGTTCTGGTCTCATATTGATTTTTTTTTAAGTTGGTCGTACTCACTACTTATGTGATCATCTTTTAAAAAATTATTTACATTCTAGATGAGTTCAACTTTAGATTGATATTTTCTGAGAGACAAAGATTAATTAATAAGTGACTTACTCATTTAAGTTAACCCATTCGGTTAAATTAAAAGTGTTAAATGCAGATGTTTAAAGATCTAAGTATGAATTTCTAATGTAGAATTATTTTTATTAATATTAGAATGCTTATGGTAGGTGTCCAAGGAGAATATGGTTGAAAGGATCGCTGGTCATAAATTTATATTGTTTAGGATAAAGTGCAAAAAAATCCATTGAAGTATTGTCCATGTGTAATTAACTCCCCTGAATTATAAGTTGTCCCCTCGAACTATTAAATTTTTGTAATTAACCCCCTTGAATTATTGAATTTTTGTAATTAACTCCCAATGTGACATCTCCGGCTAATTGGTTGTAACGGAATTCGTAAAAGACAATTTTACCCCTTACATAAAACTACGTCATTTCACTAAAAATTTATACAACCACCAATTTTAGCACCAAAACCGAGTCCAAGTCCGGACCCGGGGAAAACAACCCAAGCCCAAACAGGGCCAATCAAGCCACATGACCTAAACAGGGAAATTGGGTAGACTTTTTCGCGTAAATTCATTCTGCTGAACAAAGACCATCGAGCTTGTAACGACCCGAAAAGATACCAAAATAATAATAAAAATCTATAAAAATTTCGATATGACCTCCACAGAAAATGTCCCTCAACAACCTGTTGAAATACAAAAATAAATGCAATGGCCTCACTGGGCCTTAAATCTAACTTATCCTATCCCAACGCACAATTCAAATATTATAGTACATTCCCAAAATGGTTATATACATACAAAAGTCCCGTTCCTCCATCTCATCCAAACAAGGGACACATTCATTACTTCAAGTTACAATCCATAATTATAGCTAAAATTTTAAAATTCATAACTTACAACATCATATCAACTAAACTAAAGTTTTACAAAATATTTAAGATTACATTTACAAAATATATTAAAGTTCTAATACAAAAGATAGCAAAATATAGCAAAATAAAATAGATCTCCAAGCTAGTCTAAACCAGTGGTGGATCGTCATCCACCACCTCTTTTCCGTGTCCTAAAAAATGTTAAAAAATAATGGGGTGAGCATAAACTCAGTAGGAAGTGTCTAAGACACACTTCTTATATCCCCGTGAATCCCACACAAAGAATGGATAAAAAGGGACGGGGTCATACCATGGGGAAAACATAATCTCAATCACAATGACAAGCATAGTATAAATAACATCCAATCACAAATTTCCCACATGTACCATGAAGTGCAATGTTATGCCTATGCCACTCCCCGTTTCCGAAACAATTCCGTTTCAACAACCAAACCGTTAATGTAGTCCAATCCAAGACACCTCCAAGGCGTCACGAAAGGAAGGTTGGTTAACTATTCACGACCACAAGGCACTTCCAAGGCGTCGCATCCGGTCTAGTTAACTCAACGATATTCCTTTCTAGACTACACTAACATCACGGGCCACTAGGCGCCTCCTAGGCGTCCGGTTTTCGCAACACTTTTATAAAATATTTTTCCTAAAATAATTTCGTTTGTTCTAAAAATATTTTTTTCCCCTTCTCTTTCCCAATGAATGAATGAATGCTTGTACTTTAATTTATCAACCCAACCATATAACTGTCACACATACTATACAAGACAAATTTATAAAATACATGATGGAGCTCTCATTTAATATTAACTTTGCATAATTAGCATGTAAAATTTTAAACTCAATTTCATACAAACATGTAAGCATGCTAAATCACTTCAAAACAATTAACAAATAGTCACATACATTCCATGCTTATTATTCTAAACAAATCTTTGCAAGAATTAGCACTAATTGAACATGTTAGGCATCACTTTAAGCTAGAAACTCAGAAAAATACAAGAATTCATGCATTAGAACACCCCTACCTCACTTAGATGCAAAACTCCCAATTTTGAGCCCAAGAACCCTAGAATTTCGAACTCCCTAGAGTACACCAAATGATGATTGGCTCCTATCAAATTGAAGGCCTCGACGAGCTTTCCAACTTTGCTTCACAAAGTTCTACCAAATTTCAAAGGGATAGAGCTAGATCAAGCTTGCAATTGCAAAAAAAAAAAAAAAAAAAAAAAAAAAAAAAAAAACTGCCGAGAGCAGTGATGCAGCAGAGAGATAGAAAACCCACGAGTCTAAGAAATGGCCTTATGGCCTTCGTTATGTTTTAATTTATTGGTGGGGCCCACCAACTTTTGAAAAAAAATCTTTTAACTTTAATATATATATATATATATATATATATATATATATATATATATATATAAACATTACATTCTCCCCGACTTTAAAAGATTTCGTCCCCAAAATCAGGCCATACCTGAGGGAGAAAACAACTCTGGATACTTGGAGCGAACCTCCTGTTCGAGCTCCGAAGTAGCCTCCTCAACTCCATGATGCCTCCAAAGAACCTTTACCAACAGTATCGTCTTTTTCCTCAACACCTTCTGTTGTGTGTCAAGGATCTGAATTGGTCCCTCCTTGTAGGAAACATCCTCATTAATGTCCACATCAACCCAACTCAAAATGTGAGACGAATCTGGCTCGTACTTCCGTAGCATCGACACATGAAAGACATTATGAACCCTGTCCATCGGTAGTGGCAATGCTAGTCTGTAGGCAACCTCTCTTACACAGTCCAAGATCTCAAAAGGTCCAATAAATCGTGGCGACAACTTGCTACTCTTCTCGAACCTCATCAACCCCTTCCTTAGAGAAACCCGAAGAAAAACGTGGTCTCACACCTCAAAGGATAGCGGTTGTCTCCGCCTATCTGCATAACTCTTCTGTCAGCTCTGAGCTGTAAGCAATCTCTGTCTGATCAGCTTAATCTTCTCAGTAGTCTCGAGTACAATGTCGGGTCCTAAGGCGGCTGTCTCGCCCACCTCAGTCCAACAGACAGGAGACCTACAAGATCTACCATACAACACCTCAAATGGAGCTGTCTGAATACTCGCCTGATAACTGTTGTTGTAGGCAAACTCAATAAATGGAAGGTAATCTTCCCAACTACCACCCAAGTCAAGTACACAAGCTCGAAGCATATCCTCCAAGATCTGGATGGTACGCTCCGACTGGCCGTCCGTCTGTGGATGGAATGCAGTACTATGGTACAACGCTGAGCCAAACACTACTTGAAGTCCTTCCCAGAACTTCAAGGTGAACTTAGCATCCCTATCCGACACAATAGCCACTGGAACTCCGTGTAATCTCACAATTTCTTTCACATAAAGTACACTGAGTGCCTCTGCGTCATATGTTGCCTTAATAGGCAAGAAGTGAGCCGTCTTGGTCAATCTATCAATAAAGACCCATACGGTTTCATTTCCCCTCCGTGACCTAGGAAGACCTGTCACAAAATCCATTGCAATCTTTTCCCATTTCCACTGCGCTATCGGCAATGGTTGCAATAAACCAGCTGGTCTCTGGTGCTCGGTCTTCACCTGCTGACAGGTAAGGCACTTAGCTACAAACTGTGCAACATCCTTCTTCATTCCATTCTACCAATACTGACGTATCAGATTGTGATACATTTTGGTACCACCCGGATGAACTACAAAGCGGGAAGTGTGAAACTCCCGTACGACGTCCTCACAACAAACTGTGGGAACAACCAACAAACCCCTAAACCGAGACCTCCATCTGCATGTAAGGTCCAATCCTTCACGGTCTCGCCACTGGAGATCAAAGTGTAAATGGCATCCAAATCTGAATCCTGTCTCTGTGACTCAATCACCCGTCTAACAAGAGTGGGTTGAGTCATGAGACTAAACAAAAATGCTGACTCACTGCCATCATCATCATCATCAAAGCAATACAATCCCATTTCAGCCAAATCTTCCAGCATCTTCTATTTTCGAATGGCTAAACTAGCCAAAGTCCCACGAGATTTCCAGCTTAAAGCATCAGCTACCACATTTGCCTTGCCAGGATGATACTGTAAATCAAAATTGTAGTCTTCTAAGAATTCAACCCATTGCCTCTGTTTGTTGTTCAAGTCCTTTTGGGAGAAAAGGTACTTGAGACTCTTGTGGTTCAAGAACACCTCAAATCTCTCACCATACAAATAGTGTCTCTAACACTTCAAAGCAAATACAACTGCCACTAACTCTAAGTCATGAGTAGGGTAGTTAAGCTTGTGAGTCTTCAACTGTCGAGACCCATAAGCCACTACTCTATCATCTTGCATCAGTACACAACCCAAACCATCATGTGAGGGGTCACAATAGATCACATAACCCAAGCCATGCTCAGGTATCACTAACACCGGAGCCGTAGTCAACCTTGTTTTCAACTCTTGAAAGGATGACTCACATGCCTCATTCCATGCAAATTTGATCCCTTTCCGGGTCAATCTGGTCATAGGAGCTGCCAAACGGGAAAAATCCTTCACAAATCTCCGATAATAACCCGCTAGGCCAAAGAAACTCCGGATCTCAAAGCATTTTTGGGTTGCTCCCAATTCAAAACTGCCTCTATCTTTGAAGGATTAACTGAAACCCCACCTTCCGAGACAACATGTCCAAAAAATTTCACCTCATGTAGCCAAAACTCACACTATTCATATTTGGCGTACAAACGGTGCTCCCGTAGAATCTGCAACACTATACTCAAATGGACCTCGTGCTCCTCCCGAGTCCGTGAATACACAAGAATGTCATCCACAAAAACTACCACAAACTGATCTAGGTAATCGTGGAAAACGCGGTTCATCAAATCCATAAATGCCACTGGCGCATTAGTCAATCCAAAGGGCATAACAAGAAACTCATAATGTCCATATCGCGTACGGAACGCGGTTTTTGGAATATCCTCCTCTCTAACCCGTAACTGATAATAGCCTGACCTCAAGTCAATCTTCGAAAAACAACTAGCTCCCCTCAACTGATCAAATAAATCATCTATCCTTGGCAAAGGGTACTTGTTCTTGATGGTGGCATGATTCAACTTCCGGTAATCAATGCACAACCTCAAAGAATTATCTTTCTTCTTAGCGAACAAGACCAGTGCACCCCACGGTGACACACTCGGTCGTATAAAGCCTTTCGCTCTCAAATCTTCAAGTTGCTTTTTCAATTCTTCTAATTCAATCGGTGTCATACGATACGGTGCCATAGAGATTGGCGCGGTACCAGGCATCAAATCAATAGCAAATTCCATCTCTCGGTATGGAGGTAAGGCTACAAATGAGCAGAGCCGAGCCGAGCTTTAGGTTGTTCGGGCTCGGCTCGTTTGTTTATGGGATCAGCTCGGGCTCGGGCTCGGCTCGTGACGAGCTCAAAAATTTGAGCTCAGGCTCAGGCTCGTCTTGATTTTAAAAGCTCGGGCTCGGCTCGTTTAACAAAAAAAAAATTCAAAATTAATTAGTATTCTACAGGCCACAATACCTTTTTCCATTGATTTATCAATTATCACATAAGCAAAAAGAAAAAGGGTAAAAAAAAAAAAAAAAGGTACAGTAATGCAAGCTTTTATCTTTCATGAACAAATTAAGAGTTAATTTCAAAAAAAGAAAAAAGGACAAAATTGAGCATGAGTGCATTATGCATTTTCTATGAAAATACAACACATCAAATAGTTATAAATTCCCATGATAATAATATCTATAGAACCACTGAAACATTATATATATTAAGTAGAAAAAGAAATCACAGAGGAAAATAAGTTGTAGATAAATTAATTTAGCTACCTGTGGCCATTGAGCATTAGTCTCCATAAATTTAGAAGAAGCAGAAAAAAAGGCTAAACAAAATTGTCTGCAACTGCCTAAAGAATGTTTTGAGGTTGTCCAGATCCATAGAATTAAAGTGAAAATAAAGTTTTGCCAAAAAATTAATTGATGCAGTACCTAATTGATGGCGATGATAGAGGATGGCCAACGATGATGACGAGGATGGAGGGACAGCGGCACAGACGATGGCGGGAAATGGACGATGTCCATGGCGAAGACAGAAGACCGCGGCCAACGATAACGATGACAGACGATGCGTTCAGATCTGAGAGAGAGAGTTATGGCGATTGAGTTGATTAGAGACAGAGAGGTAGTTGTGTAGATGGAAAGGTTGTCGTCGCCGATGGAGTTGATTCGTAACTCGTGAGTGAGTGATAGAGAAAGAGAGACTGACAATGTTGTGGAGAAGAGGCAGATCTGAATGGTGGGGTGTAGTTTTAAGGTTTTTTATATCTTACAAAATCAACGGATGAGATGGGTTCTAATTTAATGGGTGAGACGAAATCTTATTTGGGCTATGGATCTATGGTGGATTTTCTTTGGGCTAGTGAGTTATAATGCTTGGGCCATATTAATGAAAAATATGAGTTGGGCCAAACTTAAAAATAATATGGACTAAACATTTTAAATGCACAATAAAAACAAATGGGCCTGATATATATAGAATGGGCCTGATATATATAACGAGCCTGATACGAGCTTTGTTCACGAGCCTTAACGAGCCCATGTTCACGAGCCTATGCGAGCCGAGCCCAACGTTGCTTAGGCTCGGCTCGTTTAGTAAACGAGCCTAGAAATTGGGCTCGAGCTCGGCTCGTTTGCTTAATAAACGAGCCCGAGCCGAGCCCTTAACGAGCTGAACCCGAGCTGTTCATGAACAGCTCGGTTCATTTGCAGCCTTATGTGGAGGCAACTCAGTCAAGTCCTCTGGAAACACATCCAGAAAATCGCATACAACTTCGGGATAATCAACCCCACAAAACTCCACATCATCATCGGCGAACAGACTAGCCAAGAAGAATGTCTGCCGATCCCGACCCTTAGCACCATAGAATGAAGGAGTGAGAGGATCACACCGATCTCCCACAAAACAGAAACAATCCCCATCTGGGGTACACACTGAAACTCTGCCCCTAAAGCAATCAATGACAACTCTGAATGATGACAACCAGTCCATCCCAAGAATGATGTCAAATCCTATCATCTCGAGAAGGATGAGATCAAACTCAAGAACACGTCCGACAATCGTGATGGAACAACTCCTACAAACTCTACCAAGAGTGACTGAATCCCCAATAGGTGTGTCAACACAGAGCAGTCTGTCTAACTAACTGACCTCCAACCCTAAGGCCCGTGCAAATGATGAAGCAATAAATGAATAAGAAGCACCGAAATCAAACAATACACGTGCCCAAGAATGGGACACAAGAAACATACCCCTAACAACTGAAGAACTGGATGGTGGCTCTGCTGGAGTGAATGCAAACACGCGACCCTGGGTCCTCTGCCCCTGAGAACCGCCTACCTAATAACCAGACTGCTGAGTGGGTGCACTCGAAGAAGCTCCCCTACCAGGTCGAGAACTCTGGGCTAACACAGCTGGCTGAGACGGCTGAGGTGGTGGTGGCGGTCGAAACCCTGACTGAACTATGGCAGACTGCATCTGCCTCTGCTGTGAACCTCCACCTCTGCCCAAACCACTGCCCCGATGTGGACAATCTTTCACCCTATGGCCCTGCTGGCCACACCCAAAACATCCACTAGACGACACCTGAATCTGAGTACACTGGGACTTGTGATGCCCGGACTGCTCACACTTGAAACAAATCACTTGAGTTAACTGAGCCTGAGTGCATTGGGACTTGTAATGTCCCAGCTGTCCGCATCTAAAACAAGTAACATTTGGTGTAGAAGACCCCATGGACACTGAAGTTGTGGGTGCGGATCTGACTGGCTGTTGTCCTCTGAACCCTGATTGCTCATCCTTCTGCTTCTTACTTGATTGACCCTCGGAGAAAGTACTCAAACCTATATTGTGCTTGTAGGATTCCCTGATAGCCTTATTGTCCCTGCTTTCAGCCTCAACTACTAAGGCCTTTCGTACTGTTTTTGCGTACTCTGACGGTTCTGAGGCAGCTACAATTGGCCTGATGATGAAATTAAGACCGTTCACAAACTTCTCTATCTTTCCTTCCTCATCCTTAGTAATCCCCGGTGTAAACCTCAAAAGCAATGTAAACTTATTCTTATACTCTATAACTGTCATGCTTCCTTGCTTCAACCCATCAAACTCCTTCTTTAGTTCCCTCCGCTTAGGCGCCGGAAAGTACTTCTCATGGTACAACTTCTTGAAAGTATCATATGTCATAGTATCCAGATTATGGGTGTGAGAAACGGTCTTCCACCAAATCTCAGCATCGCCCACAAAATTGTAAGTAGCCAATGTAATTTTCAACTTGTCCGTTGCCAAATTCATGGCATTAATATGCTTCTCCACCCTATCCATGAAACTATCCGCAACAAGCGGATTTGGACCGCCCTCAAACAGAGTTGGCATCAACTTCACAAACTTAGTAATGTGGTAAAGAGTATCATCTAACTCATTTTTCTTTGGAGGTGGTGGTGATGGTGCCGATGGTGGCACAAACTGTGACGATGACGCACCTGTCAGTCGATATGCATCAAAAATAACCGCCTGAATGGCTAACCTCAACTGCTCCCTATTTATCTGAAAAGGTGGGTCAACGGTCCCCCTCGCTTGTCCTTCTCTTGGTGGGACCAAATCACGCAATAAGATATCTTCCTCAACTTGCTCCCGATCCCTTTCCACAGGATTGGAACTAGAACTTTCCCCAGGATCCCTTCGTGGTGGCATGACGCTATAAGAAAAAAGAAACGGATCAATAACGATGACACTAAAATACGCACGATAACGGAATCCTCACATGAATGAGTTGACAAAAATGGAAACACATAAACACCTTCCTTGCTCCCAGAATACCCAACTAATGAGAAACATGATCATGCTAATAATATGCAACAATTCTAAGCACTTAGCACGTACTCATCTAAGCAATTAAACAATTAAGCGTGCCTTTCAAATAATTATAAGCACCTTAACACATAAGCATATAAGCATACAATCAAGTAAACAATTATGCAAGTAAGCAAATAACTCAACTCCTCATGCAATCCTAGGTAGGCCTCTACCCGTTGTGCTAATGGTATTCGAACCATCGCTCTGATACCAAATTTGTAACGACCCGAAAAAATACCAAAATAATAATAAAAATCTATAAAAATTTTGACATAACCTCCGTAGAAAATGTCCCTCAACAACCTGTTGAAATACAAAAATAAATGCAATGGTCTCACTGGGCCTTAAATCTAACTTATCATGTCCCAACGCACAATTCAGATATTATACTACATTCCCAAAATGGTTACATACATACAAAAGTCCCGTTCCTCCATCTCATCCAAACAAGGGACACATCCGTTACTTCAAGTTACAGTCCATAATTATAGCTAAAATTTTAAAGTCCATAACTTACAACATTATATCAACTAAACTAAAGTTTCACAAAATATTTAAGATTACATTTACAAAATATATATTAAAGTTCTAATACAAAAGATAGCAAAAGATAGTAAAATAAAATAGATCTCCAAGCTAGTATAAACCAGTGGTGGATCGTCGTCCGCCACCTCTTTTCCGTATCCTGAAAAATGTTAAAAAATAATAGGATGAGCATAAGCTCAGTAGAAAATGTCTAAGACACACTTCTAATATCCCCGTGAATTCCACACAAAGAATGGATAAAAAGGGATGGGGTCATACCATGGGGAAAACATAATCTCAATCACAACGACAAGCATAGTATAAATAACATCCAATCACAAATTTCCCACATGTACCATGAAATGCAATGTCATGCCTATGCTATTCCCCGTTTCTGAAACAATTCCGTTTCAACAACTAAACCGTTAATGTAGTCCAACCCAAGGCACCTTCAAGGCTTCACGAAAGGAAGGTTGGTTAACTATCCACGACCACAAGGCACCTCCAAGGCGTCGCATGATAGGCGTGTACTTATGGACTTATCGTTGTCAAATACACTCCATTAACATATAAAATACCTACAACTATTTAACTAAAAATGTCTAATGGCAAGTAGGGTCGAACCACGCATTCAAGGTGAGTTTCTATTTTCGAACAAGAGATTTAAAAATATTGATTTTGAAATTGGTCACGAACTATAGAAATGAAATTACAACTATAAAACATTAAACACTTGAATTGGAAATTAAATGAGAATAAAATTTGTGACATAACTTGCATTAAATTAAACAAACTTTAAAGAAAATTACATAAAGAAATTCTATCTCTAACTTTTCTTTTTTCATTTGCCTCCGAAGTGTGCCTTTTATAGCCAAAGAAAGATACCCACTTGTAGACTGTGATGATGGCCCAAACTGCTTCTTCATTTCCTTCACGCCACCTAGCTACACTTTAGTCTGACCACTGCCCACTTCTGTATCAACCCATTATGCATCAACCACTTCTATGTCATTTCTTTTCTTTTTCTAACTCATCATTTCTTTCCTAGATTACTCTTTTCTTTTCTTCTTTCTCTTTCTCTCTCCTCCATTTATTTTCTTCACGTGGCTTGGCTTCCTTCTTTCTTCTTTCTTCTTTTTTCTTTTTTCTTTTCTTTTCTTCTTTCTCTCTCCTCATTTCACTTCTTCACATGCACACACATATACATAATATAACTGATTTTTGCTTCTTTTCTTTTCTTCCCATTCATACATTAACACCTATAAACACAAAATGAGCATATAAGAATGTTTAAATAATATAATAGTCTAATTAAAAACTTATGCTGATGCATGAAATAATAGGTTTTGTGTACTTATCAAACTACCCCTAAACAAGCTTTTGCTAGTCCTCTAGCAAAAAAAGATAGATAAGTTCACAAAAAAAAAAAATATTACTTTTATTAACAAAAAGATGTGCCACTTTCGCAGGCTACTTTCGATTGCATTTACTATATGCAATAAGGCCTTAAACCCCTAGGTTACCCCTAGTAGACGAGTTATAGCCTCGTGAGGGTTTCCAGTGAAGGTACCCACAAACTTCCAAAGAATTTTCCTGCATATCTACAAAATGAAAAGTTTTAGAAATGAAAATATCAAGTTCTTTATATACAATGAGTTACTAAGGTGTTATAAAAACAAATATTTCAAGAAAATTCATCCATAAACAACCTAGAAGTAGAGAGTGTGTGTGTGCAAAGTCGACAAAAATCCATTTTCAAATCCAAGTGATGAAATTCCCAAGTCTTTAGAAAACTATGTTTGACTTTAAATCTCACAGTAAATATCTCTCTAAAAGAACATTTCTCGAATATTTGGCTAATTGTATCTCTCAAATGTACGTGAATAGGAACTCTGTTTCTAAAGTAAAATCAAGCTCACATACTAATTATTTGAAGGACCGATACATATAATAGAAGAGTCTCATGACAGGAATGTTGATCACTTTTGAGAGAATGTCGAGTTACCCACCATAACGCCTTCTTATTTACTATGCACTATCATACCTTTTCTAAAAATATTATTGAACTCAATTTGTACATAAATGTTTCTGAGAATGAGGGGTCTTCAAAATACTTGAAAGGGATACTTTACTCTTCTTCCTCTTCTTCTTTATTTTTTTTTATTTTTATTTTTTATTTTTTGAAGAGGATATGAATGACTTCTTGATCCCTTTTTCTTTTACATACAGTCATCACTAACATTTCTCAGAGAAATAATAAGATTACAAAAGGTAATGAAGGTATGATAGTACATGGTAAATTAGAAGACTTATGTTTCTCTTAACTCGATGTGATTTCATTCTCAATGATCTACCAAAATGAAGGATTATAAGACTAACAACAAATTTTTATCACGCTATCCAAGAAATTTGAGCCATCTTGTGACTCGGAGTTAGCGTAAAACTCTCTAAAAAGATGAAAGGCACGAAAACTCACATGGTTTTAAGTCTCCAATAATAGATTTCTAGATTCTTGGGAGATTATTCACTTCTTTCTTTCAAGTTGCGACTTTGTGCAAAAATATTTCTGCTTCTAAATTCTCATGGTGCAATGTCTATCATTATATCACCTTAGTAACGAGCTCAATCTCAATTTAGAATAATGACATCTCTTAACTTTTACAAAGTAGAAAAGCTTGATTTTTTTTTTTTTTTTTTTGAAAAAAGGTACATGTTTTGATAAATCTATCCTACCCCCAAACAAAATAAAACACTGTCCCTAATGTTTGAAAAAATAAAACACTGAAAAGTGGTGAATGAAATGGACAATGTACCGCTGGAGAAAAATAAAAATTGGAACGAATTACCTCAATTGATTTGGTGCTCTGAAGTACAATCCCTGCAAATATGCATTGCAAAAAAGAGACCAAGTGTTATGAAATTATAACAGATTGTACCCCCAAACAAAATATAAGTATAGCTAAAGAAATAGAAACAAGGAACTGGGTTGCCTCCCAGGAGCGCTAAGTTTAACGTCTTCAGCCAAACGCAAGGGGGATAGTACCCCCAGAGAGATCAATCCGAATAGATAGGATCGACGAGGAGAATATCCTCGATTTTATGAGACTCGAGCTCAAGGAAAGGCTTTAAGCGATGAGCATTAACTTTAAACAATTCCCCAGTCGTGGGGTCTTATACCTCAATTGCATCGTGACTTGCCACATGTTTGACAAAGTATGGGCCGGAACAACGTCACCATAACTTCCCAGGAAACAATTGAAGACGGGAGTTATACAAAAGAAGCTATTGTCCGGGGGAGAAATCCTTTCGAAGAATGTGCTTGTCATGTTCCAACTTTGTTTTGGCTTTATACATGTTGGAATTCTCATAGGCATCATTTCGAATTTCTTCCAACTCATCAAGCTGGAGTTTCCTATGTTCACCGGCTTTATCAGAGTCGAAATTCATGGCCTTAATGGCCCAATAAGCACGGTGTTCCAGCTTTACAGGCAAATGACAAGCTTTACCATAAACCAAATGGTATGGGGACATTCCTATAGGGGTCTTGTAAGCAGTCCGGTATGCCCACAAAGCATCCTGAAGCCGGAGGGTCTAGTCTTTCCGTGTAGGATTAACTATTTTTTCTAATTTTTGCTTGATTTCCCTATTGGATACCTTAGCCTGACCATTGGTTTGTGGGTGATATGACAGGGCCACTTTGTGAGTGATACTATATTTGGACAATAAACTTCCAAAGACTTTATTGCAAAAATGTGAACCATTATCACTTATAATGGCTCGAGGTATACCAAACCTAGGTAAAATTAAGTTTTTGAAGAAACGCACCACAACTCGATGGTCGGCTGTCTTGGTGGCTAAGGCTTCTACCTATTTCGATATATAATCAACAGCCAGAAGGATGTAAAGACATCCATATGAGGAAGGAAAGGGTCCTATGAAATCAATACCCCAAACATCAAAAACTCAAACGGGTTGTTGGGGCCATTCATTACGCTTGGTAATCTTACCTAACAATTGACATCTATGACAAGCTAGACAGTAGGTGTAGGTATCCTTGAAAAGGGTGGGCCAATAAAATCCCGACTGCAATATTTTGGCAGCGGTTCTTTTAGAGTTAAAGTGGCCACCACAGGCCTGATCATGACAGAAGGAAATGACAGACTCCTGGTCTATCTCAGGGACACACCTACGGATGATTTGATCAGGACAATATTTGAACAAGTAGGGGTCGTCCCAAAAATATTCCTTAACCTTAGCTAGGAATTTATCTCTCTTTTGTTTGGACCAAGTGGAAGGAATTTGACCTGTCACAA